AGACCTTGTAATATTTAAGATATATTAATTTTATTTTTGGCTTCATGTTAATAGATATTGTGTTTTTTTTCTTTGAATATTAATAATAATGCATTTATTGACATACACCTGAAGGCGTTCGTGAATAACTTGTTTAGTATGAAAATTATAGCTATATTCAAAATACAAGGCTTATGCACCTTGTGCCGCACTGAAGTAGGGAAGTCTGGTGGGTATTCTAGTGATGTGAAATACAAATATCGATAGTTTAAATTAAGTTTTAATAAAAAATTAAAAAAGTAACAAACAAAGATGTTTTAATAATTTAGTCTAAATATTTTACAAATAAGACATACGTGCATAAATACTTAAATAAGCTATATTTAAAGAAAACATATTATTTAATAACATTTAGTTACAACTTCAAATGTTTGTCACGAAAAACATTATTTAAATTAGCAATAAATCGTATAGCAAATTAAATTATAATCAATTTGGAGTTTTGATTTTGTTTGTTTCTCTTGACGCCATGTCGACATGTGCGTTTCTTACGAATGCGAGGCAGCACTGGCTGCACGAAGCTAGCGTGGGGTGCGGTACCAGGTGCGCAGGGTACAAGGTGCTTCGACCTGGTTTCGCATTGTGAAGACATTTTATTACTTCCGTGCGGTACCAGGTCTAAAAACCTGGTATTAAGGTAGGTACATCATTGGATTCTATTTTAAGAATACATCATAGATATATATTCATCACTTTCCTACACCGGACCCAATTGAAGTTATGCCTTTCGCACGACAAGGAAGACTATAATTTTCTTAGCCGCACGGTAAGCGAGACGTACACAAGGTCTATAGACCTGGTTTCGCACTCAACGTGTTAAAGTCTCAATTGCACAAAAACCATACATTGTAGAGTAGCTTATTTAGGCTAAATTTCCTCCTACGCTGACGTCGGTCGCGTACATCGGTCGAGCGTACGAATGAACACAATGTTCTATGAAGCACCGCACTGCAACGCCGTCGTCAGCGGCAGATGATTAAACATAGAACTAGTATGTAATCGTGCGCGCCGCTGACGTCGGTCACCGATGTCAGCCTAAAAGGAAATCGAGCCTTAGAGTACTATTTAAAGTAAGCGTGGGTTCATTAGAACACAAAAACAGCTCTACTTGCATGTTCCAAGATTTACTACCCCGTGTGTCTTAGCCCTTAGACTTAATAGCCTATAAAAAGTATCAGAACTCGAATACAATACCCAATGGATTCAAGGCTTAAGGTTCTTGAAGGTTGAACGTTATTTATTTCTTGGCCTTTAAACGCTTTAAAAAGGCAGTTAGAGCAGAAGAGAAATCCTTTCAGTGAAAAGTTTTAACTTTTCATCAGTTTGTTTTTAATTTAATTTTGTTTTAAAACTTTTTAATTACAAAGATCCCTTTCAAAGTTTCAAGTGAAACCTTTTAAGGAATTTATTTTGTTGTTATTTAAAGTGGCTGTTTGATCAACAGTTGAAGAATCTTTTGTCTTCAATTTCAATAAACTCGTATTTAATAAGTAATTAAAATACATTAATTTTTATATGAAAGGAACCTAATAATAAGCCTTCCAACAAACTTACTATGCATAAATTGTATTAAGGTAACTTTCTATGTTTTTAAGTCAATATTGTAGGATTTATGTAAACACCGCCCTTTGCCTCAATTAAAACGTTCATACTTTTGTCTATGCAACTCTGTATTCTCTGTGCTCTCTCCGTCCGTGTGGACGTCAATTAACTGTGTTTAAATTCAAATAATTCCCTCTTTTATTAGTATACTTCCAACAAATATCAATAACATGCTTTCTTTTAAAAGTTGTCTTGGGAGTTTCTACAAACAGCCTAATTAACGAAAGGTAGTACAACCTACCTATTTATAGTACCTACCTGTATACAAACAATCGGCGAAGATGTCAACATTGTTACAACTTTTATAGTTGGAATAGGTGCGGTATAGAAACAAAACACTTAATTGTAGTGTGCTTTGGAATGTTCATCTACAATAATTATGCCACTGTAGAATCTACAACAATTAAGTCAGAGGCTTAATATGTTTCGCAATTAAGATCCAGTATTCCGTAAACACCTTTCGCAACAAATAAGTACTAACCGAAATTTCAGCAGCACCCAATTGAATGATCAAACGAACTTACCAAGTGAAGTTCGATCTAAATTATCCTGTTTTCGCCGAAGAGATTTATTTTACCATGTAGTACCCCTGTACGACAACCCAATCCGCACACAATATTCAGCGTAGTAGTATTAAAAAACAAAAGAGCGGGCAACCCCACCCCTACCACGCTGTGGGCTCGGTGTCCNCCCATAAAATTTAGATATTTTATTTCTAACGATATGTGAAAATATTCATACTAGTCTAAATTTAAAAAATGTGGGGGGGGGGGACTAACCCCCCACCTCTGGAGCTGCTTCAAGTGAGGGTAGTCCCCCCCCCTGAAAATAACCCCATATACGCCAATGACTCATAATAAAAATTAATTAATTTATTACTTAGGTAGGTAAGTATTAAAAACTAAAAAATATGTCGATTTCTTTGATGTTATTTGTGTCATACAAGTACCTAACACTATACATTTATACAGGGTGTTTCTTGTAAGGTGTCAAGCCGAAGGCAGGTGATAGGTGAGGATTAGACCTATCGATTTCACCCCCATGTATGTTCTACGATTTTTCATAGTTTAGAAGTTATCGTCAATTTTGTGATTTTTTCAAATTGTATGACCCAGTAGGCTTTACATTTTTTTATCTTTTTTTTGGGTCGACTTTTCTCAAATTTCTTTTTTTTGACAGATTCCCTATTAATTGAAGATTTTTGAAAAAAATAATCAACTTCCTATCTTTGATGCAAAATACAAAATTTTTGCTAGAAACATAAAAAATATGCTATTAGCGGAACATTCTAAAATTTTCAACTTGAAAGTTAAAAAAAAAGGAGAAATTCCATAGGTCCAAAATAATTTTAAAAACTGCGCAGTTTTCTGAACTTTCATAATAACACAAAAAAACATGTACTTAATAGGCCATTATTTTCTGTAATCGCTCCACTAATGTGGTAAGTCGGAGATTCCGTTACATGTTTTTGACTTTCTTAGGACTAAATTATTTGTTTCATAACTTACATTTCAATTATCATAAATAATTATTTAAAAACCAAGCATCAAAATATTATCCATAATATCCTTGATTCGGTAGTATCACGAAACAGGGGACACCCGAAAAATAATATGTACGCTATTTCGTGAGTCAATTAATCGCAATTTTAAAGTAATTCTACGTTTTCATATAACTTTTTTCTAAGCCAAATCAATTGTCAAGGAACACATGAAACCACTATTACAAGTTTTATGCAAATGAACGTTTCTTCGCCTTTTTATAAGCTTAAGAAGTTGGAGCGCTAACCTTACGGTGAGAGCAACATTTTCACGCCGCACGGCTGTTTTTGGCTCTCTGAGAGTTTGAAGCTTCGTATTGCTCTCATTTTTGGCGCCACAATGTTGGTACTTGGTTTTTTAGATAGCTCAAATAATAGAGATTTTATAGTAATAAAGAATTTTTATAAATAATATTCCATTTGCCTACTATTTGAGCTAGAAAAAAAACTTACGAACTTACGTACTATCACGAACTAGTAGCCGTTTACCTTAGATACTTAATTTATCTTTAGAAATACCTATTGGTCTTTTTTAAATTCTTATTTAAACATATTTGCTGAAAATTTAGAAAGGTCATGTACCTTTGCATGTCATGAATAACAAAACAACCGCAAAGTAATAAATTAAGTACCTATTCTGAAGTACCTACTACAATTCTGTTTACCTTTCACTAAAGTAATAAAAGGTTTCTAACCCATTCCATCGAGGCCCATTCGCCTCAAGGAAATAAGAAGAAACTTTTAATATGGGTTCATAAGAAAAACAATTGGGAAAGAAACGGGACAAATAAAACCCCATCTTGCGGAAATAACACATGTTTTCTTTCGCGTAGTTACGGAAAAAATATCCGTTTTTCCGCTTTTTTCCGACATTATTCCTTACGAGATGAACAGCTGCAGCTGTGTTCCGGGAAAATTATGGTTAATGAATTACTTACTTGCTCTTTTACTGGTTGGTTATTTATTAATGATAATAATATAGGCGTCATCATTTCAGTGAGTACTGAATATTTTCATAAAGATTATAAACAGTTTTATGTTACCGTTTGAGTTGCCAATCAGCTGATCGTAGTTAAAGATTTAAGATCGTAGTTAAAGGTATGTAGATACATACCTACATTATGTGGATAAACTTACAAAATTTGTATGTATTACCTAAATTACCGGAGGAAATTAAGAGGAAAAGTTAACCCTTTTATAAAAATTTAAAAGGGTTAACTTTTCCTCTCTTCTTTCTACTCCTATAGATCGTAGTTTTTACTACCACAGGTATTATTTAACCAGGATCACTATGACTTAATTTTCACTCGATAAAATTACTAATATGTCATCATTATCCATTACAAAATGGAATAACATTGTCCCTTGTAATTTTTCACTTACTTTCAAGTTAGCTACTGCCATGATGTAGGCGGCCCTTAAAAGACATAAATATTTGTTAATAATTACACTAATTGCACAAAGGCTTAGTATTGCCATTCAGCGAGGAAATGCAGCCAGCATTCTCGCCTCTTTGCCTCACGGACACACTTTTATTTTTGAGTAATATAAGTTTATATTTTTATTTTGTTTAGAGTTAAGTTTGCCTTAGTTCTAAAAAAAAAATTCTGTTTATTGTAAATAAAGTCATCGATTAGGATTATAAAATAAAACAAATGTTAAGGCTTTAGCTTTATTAAGGAAATCATTCAAACTTACGAACTATTCAATAGGATACTACCGCGTTCCGGCGCAATTAAAATTTTAGTGACCGCAGAGATATGAGGCCACAGTGAGAGGGCACTTTATGGTCATGGCCATGGTCATGGTTCATATTTGATTTGGTATTAATTAGTTAATACAGTTGGTTCATTACAACGCCTTTATGTGACTCTACAGCTATTATTTCGTAGAATAATTTATTGACAAATCTTTTAACTATTGTCTACTATAGTAACTATTTTGAAAAATGGTTTTCTCGAATGAAATTCTCTTGCAATTATTGCACATAAGTAAAAGCTATACGATTACCGTACAACTGCGCTCTGCAACCTGGACCAATCCGATGATTAGATGACCCATCATGACCATACATTTTCATTCACAACTCTGTATGAGTAGATGGGAATTTCTTCAAAACTGCATGGTACAAGTTATAAAATGCGTATACTGATACACTTAGGATGACCACCAGGGATCCACCGAAGACAAAACTGAGGAAGTTCCCGTCGATCATGTTGGTTCCGTGGAGGGATCTGGCGTGACCTTGAAAAAGGTCCTTCGTGCCGGATCCAGCCGCTTTCCGCTCCTCCATCATCTTCTTCATTGATGATAACCGCTCTTTGAGCTCGTCAATGGACTCCAGCATGTCTTCGGATGCTGGAAAGATAAATTAAAATCAAAAGGGGGAAATAACAAGAAGAACGAAACACCGCACAGCATGATAAATATTGTGATATCTAGTTTGGTTGTTATAGGAACTAATTTGGAACAAAAATTATAGCCCTTTATTTAATCCAGATGTGCTGAGTTGATCTTATAAAAAAACAGCTTCTTGAAGGTTATTTTGTTATACCTAATTACCTACATATTAATAATATCATTATCATCGAATTAAGTAACATTAAGCGATCTTGTTGAAATCTGAAAGAAAGTAAATTTTCTCTACCCGGTGCTCTAAAGAAATAACTTCATTGATTCAATCTTAAATACTTATAAATTATTCGTTTACGAAAATATTTTTTCAATCCATCTTACAAAATAATAAGATAAAAAAGATTATTTTTTTATCGTTAATTTGTCAGTAAGTACCTTTCATTCTGTACCTGTCTACATAAATTCACCGTATCACAAACCTGTCACAGTATCTAAGTAATCTTTACGTAGCATTTTGCGGTCAACTTTTCCCAAACATGACGCAAATCATTCTACAAACCGCAAAATAATAACAATACATCAAAACACATAATATCACAATAACGTACCTTCAGCTTCTCTATCCGGGCTCATTTTTCACGATTTATTAATAAAATTTCACTAAACGGTACTCTTTCGTGTCAGTCTTTTGTTTTGCGAAGTCGACGCATTTGCGAATCTGTGGTTTGGTTTCCAAAATGGCGCGCGCATGCGAAGGAGTCGGGATAGACGGGAGCTTATTGATCGGGCCTGGGAATGCCTGGCTGGGGTGGTCTGGTTCTAGGCTGGCATAGGGTTTACTATTGAAATCCATTATGGCCGATTTGCAATTTTTTCTTAATCAGAGAAGATAACATTTAAAAAATAATATGTACCTACCTGCTTTTAAGGAAGAAAATCGATAGAGAAGTAAATAGGTACCTAATTTGTGAAATAAAATACACAAATAAAAAAAACGAATTTAATCACAAATTCCTCCAAATACGATCTTCCTAGTCTTTCCTAGTCTTTTTCCATAATATTAAACTCATGATTTCTGCATTATTGTAAGTACTTAATGTATTTAATACCATGTTAGTTAATACTTGTTGATCCTGATCAATAAGTAAGTTCGCACCTAATTTTTTAGTTCCATTGTCTCCAAGCTTAGTGGTTAGTTCAGGCCACCCCAACTGAAAGGTCGTTGGTTCAAGTCGCTAGTGATATCGCTTGATACATACCCAAATTAAAAAATCTCCCACATGCTTGAAGCTCGTCGTACCTACCCATTTTTTTAAGCAGGACAATTTAATTTTAATTTTTTAACGAGAGTAAATTAATAAATTATGTTTTCTCATCGTCAAACTTTTCATCAACTCATCGTAAAAGGGATTAAAATTTAATTAAAAAGGGTATCTACCTACACTAACAGTGATAAAACCAAGTAAGTAATACTAATTATTATCATTTTTTTAACATTCAACAAGCCTTAGTAAAAGTCTGTGTGTCTGTGTGGGTAGGTAAGTAAAAGCTTTAAATATTAGACTTTACAAAAACGTTGATTTAAAAAAATATTCTAATGGGGTTTTATTACTTTCATGAACTTACTGAATTTTAAATAATTTCCTTGAGTTCAGTAAAGATGAGGTGCGTGCTTTACTGAGATCTTACCTCACACGCACTTCTTTGAGAGAATTTGATTTATAGGCACTGGCCTAACTCACTGATGAATGCTCATAAAACACTGAGAAGCTTTCAACTTCACTTTCCCGCCAAAAAGTCTCAATCTCGATCTAACTCGATGACAGACGTCATGTCCAATGTGTCATTTTCTTAACGAGTGAAGTGCGTTCCGTAAGTTTATCGATTGTTTTGGATATTGGATATCATTATGGTAAAATTAATCGACCATTTATACAATGAAAGTTAGTCGGTGAAAGTTAAAAAAGTACTTAACTATTACTGAAATCAAATTGACCGAAATTGAGCGTTTTTGACAGCTTATGACTTGTTTTTAACCGTTTTTGACCAATTTGACCGTAAATGACGGTCAGTCAAATTCAGCTGCTTAAGTCATTTTCAACACTAATCCCAGGTCTCTAGTTGCCTACCACGTTAACGTGGTATTGAAACAAATGGAGTTATAATAGGAGTTGGTAGGTAGTACTTGGTGGTTTTATTGAGGTAAAACGTCTTCATCTTTATTAAAACATTGTTACAAATACAACCTATTACCATCTTTAAAATGAAGATAATTTGGACTGTATTATTTTGGCTCGATATAATATATCGATATAATTATCGACTTTATCATACATATCAAAGCTATTTAATCGATTAACCAGTTACATTGGCCATCTCTACTCCACAGCAAAACGTTTCATTTCGCGCATTTCATTGTTCCTTAGTTTTGGATGAATTCTGTAATAATACAATTTTATTAAAGCCGGATCTACAGCATCGAAATTAAATTATTAAATTACATTACCCTTCATCACTGTTCATTCATCTCGGTATTTAATTAATGTAAAATCTTAATACTTGTTGTTTTGTTGAAATTAGTTATGCTTGAATTGGAATGTAAATGTCAAATGATTGACAGTTATCAGCTGTTTGTTGTTTACAAAATGAAGCTTTTCTGCAAGAAATATAATTGCAAAATTATCAATGAAAAAGTGATAGAAATGAGTGTTTATAAATTAGAACGAATACTAAATAAATTAATCAGAATAAATTCATGAAACGGTAAGTCTGTAGATGTATTTAGCTATTGGAAAATAAGATAACCAAAACATTATCTTCGGTTACGTTGCTGAATTTAATGATTTTGTGTTACTTGTGATAGGTATGGAGACTTCATACATCTGCCTCTAATACTAGAAAAGAGTTTTGTTTCAAAATAAGGCAGAAGCATCTTGAAGAAGAGGAGGCAAATTAAAGAAGGTTTGTTAAAACATTTATAATTTTAACCATCTAGCTACTTGCCTGGAATCAAATAGGTCAGACTTGAACTTTTATCCATTATGTAGGTGTAACATTTTTATTTCCAAGCTCTTAGATTAAAAAAAATACAATTTTATTTAGTAAAGTCTATAATAAAACAGATACAAATGATGTGTTGCTCCAAAGTTTGTTGTATTTTTCTATAAAGGTCCGTACTTTATTTTTTCAGGATTAATATTCACCGCTGTGGGAAACCTCATCGCGTACTAGAAGACATATTGAAAAGTAAGATCATCATTAACCTCTTCTGTAATATAAATTACTATTGTGGAAAAACCCTGTGAACTACTCAGTTGAAACATTCATCTTAATAATGTTTAGATAGCACATTTTCAAGAAATTGTTGTGGTAACAGTTGTGGGCTGGCAAGCAAATGATCCTAGATTCAATACTCATTTAAATCAGTAAATATAAAATTTTACATTGTACATTATAATTTATTAATTTTACAGTTATTATGCCCCATCATAATAATAATATGTTTCAATTCAATAAGAAGATTATTATTAAGTAGGTATACTATAGTTACTAAATATAAAAATTAATTCATTTTACAGATGAGGTTACCAAAAATTCAACACAAAACTAACAACAAGGTTCAGAAAAACTCTACAACTGAAGGTGATTAAGCTGTGAAGTGTCAATTTAATCAGTAAAACAGGTACAATGCCTTTTCATTAAAGTACTAAGTAGAGGAATATATCATTTTCCAACCAAGACCTCTAAATCTTATAAACAAAATGAAGCGGAGGGATCATGTTATGAAAAAGGTTGAAAAACACTGCTTTATAGGATAGAGGGCTACCTTTTTCTTTTTTTATTATTTTCTATTGACGTTCATATGTGCCACTTGTGGTCTAAACTGAATAAATATTTTTGATTTTGATTTTTTGATTTTGATTTTAGAAACATCCAAAAAGTTTACAATATTATTTTCTGTGAGTCATGATGGAAAGAAAATAAGTCAAGAAAGTTCAAAAACTTTATTAAACAGCAGTAGCCAAGATCCAGTCGGTGTAAGGTGAAACCGCAGCGCTAACTCCAGGGTAGAAGGCATCAGCACATCCTCTGCCCCAGGAAACCACTCCGATCAGGATGCCTTGGAAGTACAGGGGTCCACCAGAGTCTCCCTGGCAGGCGTCCCGGCCTCCGACGTCTAAGACTCCAGCGCAGATCATGTTGTCAGTGATTGAAGACCTGGGCCGAGGAGCGTACCTTGCGCGACACAGCTCCCGGTTGATTGTGTTGATTTCCACGTGACGAAGGAGGGCTGATGCTAATCCGCCGGACTGTTGGATAAATATTTAAATTAATAGGCTACTATTTAAAACTCATTTATTTAAACAAGTGGGCTTTTAAAAAGCACTTTTACAGAAGAATTGGTAGTCGATGCCAGTTCATGATGTGTCAGGACGCGATTTCTCCATAGATTTTGCATAGCAATAGGAACTTTTGCTGTATTTTTTGGCCAACTTAATTGGTTTATTGATTTCAAAGCATCTGCAAATGTATGTTATTGAATAAATATTTTTCTGTAACTGAAATTAAAATTTTATCCCAATTTAAAAATAATTCACTGTTGGGTAGTTTTCAGATGAATATAAATTGTTTCTTAGATGACTATGTGACGTATAAATTATTGGTATCTCATCATCTGATTAGAACATGTATGCAAAAAATTCGCTCCACAGTAAATGAATGTATTTTTTCATACTAAATTAATGTCATCTTTACAAGTATAACAACTGCTTACTCGTTTGCCTCCTGTACCATATAAAAGCCATTAGCGGGTGCCAAGCATCAGGGGATGACAACAGTCGCGCAGATTAGTACTCACTGGCGCATCTGGATGACAAGGACGGTCATGTTAGTGGGAGGAGGGTGCGATTGGTATCATAAAGCTCACTCGTACTTACATCTTTCATATTCGAATCGGAAAAATCCTGGGGGGCACCAGACCATTCTTGGGGTGACTGGGGACTTATGACGGGAGGGAGGGGGTCTGTCGCCCTGGGTACCAACCCATGCTACGCCGCCACTGAAAGCTGTTAGATTCAGCGCGCATGGTAGTTGAATATACTCACACTAATGGTACCCCATCCAGCGTGCACCACAGGGGAGTTATCGGGCGCCTCCCAACCCTGGTTGACGATAGCCACTTGCTGGATCCTGTCGCTGTAAACCAGCGCTGAAGACAGCCTCACAACAGTGATGTCACCATCATTGTCCAGACTGCCCCAGGTGGGGTGGTTGAAGACTGCGTCTACTGAGATGGTGGTGCCCCCATTGTTGCGGTTTGTGGTGCCAGCTCTGATACGGCGGTTGCGGACTGAGAAGAACCTGGAAAAAATGTTGGTTAAGGAATGAACTCCTACTTTATACTAGTAAGTTTTTTCAGAATCTGGTCTAGTATTTGGAATTTAGGTTGTATTAGCAATTTAATACTACTCAAATCAGATGCAATTGGAGAAACTGAAGCTTTGAAGCTGATGCAGTGAAGGAACGTATCTAGGAATGGAAAAGGGATTGGAATCGATTGTTTTAACACGTTTTGTAAAAAATATAGCAATTCTCCAATAGTATCCAATTAGATCTGTGACAGTATAATTGACGATAGTCATTCAATTCAAGCCTCTTTTTATGAATTCGTATTTTGAGGAGATGTTAAATTGGCCAGAATGGCTCCATGGGAGGCCAATAATGGAGTATAACAGGACTGTGATCATAGTTGTTACAACTCACACCCTGATTACAAAAAGAAAGTTGATCTGTGAGAACCTTTAACTACTTACAGTCCACTAAAGCAGTGAGCAGCAGATAGCACGTAGCGCGTGTTCAAGATGTTAGCAGCACAGCTCTGGCCCCATAAGATGCCAGTTCTGAATTCCACCTGCACTATGGACGGGTAGTTCTCGATGACGGTCGTGGTGCCTCCCACAATACGCTCGGGGGCTGATTGGGCTGCAGCTGGAAGAAAGGTATATTGTCTGTGAACTACCAGTCATTGAAAATTGAACTCCTCGCCACAAGAAGTAAAGTATAGAATAAAGATCAATGATCTGGCGCCGGTGATATCCAAAACCTATATAATAGTGCACGGTGTTCCACGATTCATACACAATCTAAGTATTGTGGTTCTCCTTGTGCATTGACTTAAAATATAGGGTTCTTCTGCTGTGTTCTTGGACTGCTTCTTCTTTCCAGTATACCTTTCGGGTATACGGGATATGGGATTCAATTATTTCAATTGACATTAATTTACATTCTTTCTATCTATAACAGCCTTTGGGGTTCATCTTCAAACATAGGCCTCCTCTTCAACCTTCCATGGTTGAGGAGTAACATTGCCTGGGTCTAATTATGAAAAATTTACAAAATTAAATAAACTTACCCAAAAACAGGGCAAAAATTAACACCAACGAGGACGCCATCTTAACACTTCCTTCAACAACTAAACGTTGATGACAAACATTTTTATTTTATACGCTCTAAATTATCATTAATTAATCTAATTTACAACGTGCAGGAATTAACCGATCGATAAAATGACGTTTTAAATCTCTTGACGTAGATAGGTTTTTTGCGAAATAAACATAAATACAACTCGATCGAGCTAAATGCGCACCTCGCTGGAATGCGAATCTCCTTTCCACGCGTTTGCCCCGTCTGTACCAGAGCGTCAATGTGACGTCACGGCACAGAATAAGTAATAGTACAGGTACAGAAGGATTACTCCGAAAGACGATTTAAATAAATGCGAGTCTTGCTACGACGCGATACAGTGGAATTCAGCTCGCACAGCACTATGTACCTACAATTTTATTCACCTACAAGTTTTGTCTCTTTCTATCGCGTGCCTCTGAACTCTTCTTACGCTGTTAGGGTTGCTGTCTAGTGAAAAAATAATTAATCTACTCATTTGTAATGAGGTACGTATGTAGGTAAGTATGCATTCATTATGGAAAACCTTCATAGAAGGTTAGGTTCCTATACTATACCAAGAATTATTGATTACCTACATGGCCAACATACCTTTCAGCATCTTTGGGAAGCGAAAAAATAAGATAAATCCGGTAGATTACTTTTCGAATTTAAACACCCGAACGCCGCACAATATTTCTTTCTCTTTATGTCCATTTTTAAATAATACTACGATCATAGAATTATAATCATACTACAACGCACGCCAGCGTCGTGACGGGCGCGCGCGTGACACTCGACTGATATAATACCCGCCGGCGGGGCGCTTCGCTGTAGGTAATTATCGGATGTACCGCGCGGAGTGAGCCAGGCCTGGTCACGGCCACCAGGTGCGCAGTTAACTTGACCGGGTAGTAAAAATGTACATTGTACATGTATCTACATAGGGGAAGGCTGTCCTGCAGTAAACAACCATAGGCTACGAGTAAAATGATGATCAAAGACATAATCCTGCTCCCACCTTCTTTGTATCACACGTTTACGGATGCTTAGTCGTAACAGAATTAGATAAATGTTTTGTATGATCTTCAGACCTCTGAACCTTTTACCTGAACACATGACATACCCATTATCGTACGTAGAGACAGTTATCAATGAAAGTCAAAAGCCCCTTTTCACCATCAATCCCTAATTTTTAAGTGACCCCTATGGTAACACATAACAGTAATTTTGTTTTCATGGGGGTCACTAAAAAATTTGGGATTGATGGTGAAAGCGGGCCTTAGGCTAGTATCTAATTAATTGCCAATCTTCTTATGCTCTTGCTTCTCTTCATGCTTATGATCTGACGCTGATATACGACTAGTTTTTTCAGTCGCTTTGTAGGATTCTCTAGCGTCAAGCAAAGTCACATCATAATATTTTTTCATTACAGAACTTTTTGACTCTGTATGGTTCATACAGGAAAGTTTGAAAGGAAAGGCGACCACGGGCTGGAAGACGTAGCGTGGGAGGTCTCCTACTAGGTGGACCGACGATCTGGTAAAGGTCGCGGGAAGAGCCTGGATGCGGGCAGCGCAGACCCATTCATTATGGAAAACCTTGGGGGAGGCCTTTGTCCAGCAGTGGACGTCATTTGGCTGAAACTAACGAACGAAGGTTCATACCCGGACCTGTCTGTAAGTTTGATAGTCCATTATCTATTGATGTTATGTGCGTATCTTATACTGATATTAAATACTTAATAACCGGCTTATGATTTAACCTATGGCTAATCCTTTCCTAACACGTGCTTCTACTCGTCTTTTATTGAATTAAATAAACATTAGATAAGTAAGCAAACATTCAATAGATAGTGATTAGTAAAAACCCAACAAATATGAACGTCATTACTTAAAAAACGAAAAAGTACCTATTTATCACCAGTTCATCCGCACTTGGAAAGTTGGAGATACTTGATTGAATTCACAAATGGTTATAAGATCAATAACCATTGTACTTCTTTATCTTTGCCTGTAGGCCAGTAAAATTAAACACAAAAATGAATTAAATCGGAAATAATTCCTACTAAAGATTTTAGTGCTTTAATGGCTTCATTAGTTGCCCATAAAGACTCTCCTAGGTTTTCGACTTCGACGGAGTTGTGCTTAAGTGGCGGGGGCCTCCGAAAGGGGCGCTTTTTCGGTTTTCCGGTTATACCGCGTAAAGGACTTACCCTATCGAAAAGTGGTCTTCCTGACGGTTGAAGGGCATTTAATCCTGCATTATATAAGACCAAATTCATATGTTTTGAACAAACCGTTCTCGTGCAAATGTTTAGCAAAGTAGAAAATATGTGTATAATTAATGACCCTCTCCACGTCCAATGGCTCGTTACCCGCAGGCTTCCAAGTCTTGAAAAGGAGCGCCTCAACCAGTGTAACCCTGTCAAGGCTCACGAATTGGATTCGCTTATCCTTGTTCGTCCCAGCCGTACCTTAACTGCAGTTGCTGCACCTCTTCCTGGCACTCTCCTGAACGACTCTGTGTTACCGAATGTGGCTGCCCCTCTTCCTTGTACCCTCCTGTACGATTGCACTGCTTAGTCATATGCCTGGTCCAAGGTTCGACGCCACAAAATCAACTTGGTACGCGTGAAAATAGTTTAAATTAGAGATGAAACGGATAGTGGTTTGGCCGGATACCGGATACCGGATATCCGGCGAGCTGCTAGGCCGGATAGCCGGATATCCGGCGGCCGGATAGTTGGCCCATTGTCTCGTTGTATGTCATGACGAGTTTAGCGCCGCCAGGTGCTTCGAACGCAATCAGTGGGTCTAGTAGACAAGTCACAGATTTTGCCACTTGTCTAGGGGGCAGATCAATTCGAGCGATTTCGGTTGCCATCGTGTGTGGTTGAATAGGAAAAAATTAAATTAATTTACTTGCTGCGTAATCTGACTGAACTGCATCATGTCATCAGACCATCAGTGAAAAAAAGATCGCCTAATTTAATTGGCTATATTTCGACATTAACAGATATTTATTTATTTATTACTAGCTTTCCGCCGCGGTTTCGCCCGCGTGGAATTTTGTCTGTCACAGAAAAACTTTATCGCGCGTGTCCCTGTTTCAAAAACCGGGATAATAATAAATTTCATCAAAGTCGGTTCAGTGGTTTAGGTGTGAAAGCAAGACAGACAGAGTTACTTTCGCATTTATAATATTAAGTATAGAAGTATAGATTCATCATTAGAGTGAATAGCCCTGAAAAAGAAAAGTTTTTTGAAAGGTCTTTTTTGTATCTTTTTGGACTTTAATTATAAGCCGTTATTATTATAAGCCTTTTTATTGATATTTACCTCAAAGATGAATGTATTTCATTTTATTATAAGAAATTGTCGCAGTTTTTTAATATCCGGTATCCGGCCGGATAGTGAGTTACTATCCGGTATCCGGCCGGATAGTAAATTTAGGCCGGATATCCGGCCTACCGGATAGTTACCGGATATCCGTTTCATCTCTAGTTTAAATACCTACTACTATACATACAATACAATATGCGCTTTCCTACAAACTTTATAAAGCCATCTGTCCACCTTTAAGAGTAAACGTTTATAGCCAGCATTTACAATCTTTGATTTCCAGATTGGTTATAAATGAAATATTGGCCTACATTCAGCGCCTTCCTTTATAAGACCAATTCTGCCCACCTTATGGGCGGACGTCTTACGCTGCACTGGCTGGTACGTGGCCTCCATTCCAGAATCTTTGCTGCCACATCGTCCGCAGTTCTGCGTGGTATGTGGCCCTACCTATTGCCACTTCAGCTTGGTAATTTCTTCGGGCTTTGTCAGGGACCTTACTTAGTTTATCATAAGTGCCACTTGTGGTCTAAACTGAATAAATATTTTTGATTTTGATTATGATTGATTTTGATTTTATCTTTATCTCCTAAAAAAATCTTCTTCCTCGGCCCCTCACTGATGAGGATCGCGGCCACAGATAGTGTTCCTTCACAGACTAAGCTGTGTGGACCGCACGATGCAAACTCCTTTTTTAATTTAGATTGCCTTTTAATTATTAAAGGGCATCGTGTAGATTTCATAGCTGTAAACTTTCCTTCATCCTTTTTTTTTCAAGTAGGTACGGGTACATATTACCTAGTATCTCTACGAGTATTACTACTTGTGTCGGTATGCGGCTTACAAACCTTATTTAACATAATTTAATCGTGTTTTATTGCCGGATTTTGTATATCCGTTATCAATTGTAAAATCATTCGATACGTTTAGTTATCAAGATTATTCTGGTATTAGAGCTCCATAAAACGAATTTGTTTTTCTCAGTAGCGACAAACACGCGTAATAGCCAATAATTATTAAATTTTATCAATATAATACACGGTAAAGTCCTTTGTACCCAGTAGGTGTTATTATGCAACAAAAATGTAGGCTGATGTTTACTGCTACTTATAACATTGTATGTAATAATGATTATCATGAAGTCATTGTCAATGTCTTAATTATTATCGTCTTCACCTTATAAGTTATCAACATCATAAATCAATCGTACATTTGTTATATGAAATATCATATCTGTCTGCTGAACCTGACATTAAAACCTTAAAAAGATTCATGGGATAATTTTGGAATCTAAATTTTTCAAGGTTGATAATTCATTTTATGAAATTGATATCAATTTTTAATATCCGGATAATATACTCTTAGATAACAGTGTTACAGAAAAGATCCGCTATTTTCTGTGATTAGTCACCCCCCTTTTGATCGAAAATTAAACTCTAACAACACTCAAACTGCTGGTTACCAGCGTAAGCAATCCCATTTAACCTTGCTAAATACATAGTATGAGCTTCAGCTTACTAGAGATAAAAAAACTAGGTGCGGTTGGTAAAGATAAAATGAAACAAAACATTTATCAACTCTTTTAGTTTATTTTACAAAACTGGAATTAAATAGGTATATCATGTTAATATCTAAGATGAAGTGGTGGCCACAATCCAAGGAGTGTAAGGAGAGACGGCGGTGTTGACGCCAGGGAAGCCATCCTGAAGACAGCCGTTGCCCCAGGAGATGACACCGATGATGATGTTTCCGAAGTAGACAGGGCCACCACCGTCACCCACGCAAGCATCAGCAGTGGAGGAACCGGCGCAGATCATGTTAGAGGTGACTTGGGGAGAGGATGAGAGGGTGGCGTAGTTGGAAGCGCAGACTGAGTTGTCGAGGGTCAGCACTTGGATGGATTGGAGCTCCTCAGCACGGTCTCCGCCGACCTGGATGGAAAAGATGATATTGAAATAATGTTTTTACAAATTGACACGATTTGGAAAGATCTCAGATTAACGACCAGACAACCCAAAACCTAGCCATAGAACGAGAAATGCAGCCTCAAAATAAAAATGTGTAAAGGCATAGCAGAAGAAGAAAAAGAAGACGCTCTAAAAGAAGATAAATAATCTTACTCTAAATACAAAGTATGTAAAATGACCTTATCCTAAATCTTGTTCAATCTATGTATAATGTAACTCTGATCTAGAACATTGAAGTATAACTTCAAAAATCTTACCGCGGTAATTCCCCATCCGAGCTTGGTCACGGGCAGGTTACCAGGGATGGTGGTGCCAGCAGCGACGATGGACCCAGCCGCGATGGTGGAGCTGAAGATGAGAGCTGAGCTCAGCCTCACGACCGTGATGTCACCATCGTTGCCATTCTGGCCGTAGCTAGGGTGGTTGTTCTCTTGAGCTACGTAGAGGATGATACCGGACTCAAGAGTGCTGGATCCAGCCCTGATACGGCGGTTGGATGCATCGTATCCACTGTAACCAAGAAATTGATAGTGTTAGCAAAAATATTACTCATTTGTATGCCAGAAATTACTAGATCCTTCTTGTGCTAGAGAAATCATTTCTTGTGCTCTTGCATCACTCTAATCCAGCTGAATTGGAACCTTTTATCGTCGCTAACGTTGAAATATGTGCAATTGTGGACCATTAACTTAATGACATTAAGTCAGGCATCCGAAAAATAATTAAAAGGTCTGCCTGTCTGCTAGGACTGCAGATAATTTCAAAGAACCTATGTAAATAGTATTAAGAGCTTGCTCTTGATAATAATCTCGCCCCGAAGGCGCAGTGCAGTACATGCCTTCTACGGTGGAGCCATTTTCCCAGAGAATGCCTTTTCACTCGAACCTCCAAAAGGCTTTAAGGTTCTATGTTTTGAGGTCCGAGGAACACAAACTCCAGCTGCAATTGATAGCAAAGTCCACTTACGTTCCAGCGAAGCAATGGGCCGCAGAGAGGATGGATACGGAGTTGAGGATGCTACCAGCGCAGTGGTGGGACCAGAAGATGCCGCCGACGGTCGACTCCACCTGCACGATGGAAGGCCAGGTCTCAATAGAGGTCGAACTGCCCCCGATGATGCGAGCGGGGTTGGCTGACGCTGTAGCTGTGAAATAAAAATCAATATGTAAAGTACGGCCAAAGAGAAACGATACCAAATGTATAGCCTGACCAGGAACATAAAAACCCTGGCATAGAGGCGCGTCAATTGCATTTGATAGTGCAACACTGAGTACAGTCGTACATGTGTTAAATTAATAGGCTAAATTTATGTGTCAGGATTCAGGATTACGGGCTAATTTGATATTTTCATAAATTAACGAAAAAATATTATTAAAGGTAACCTGGTTTAAATAAATTAAATGAAACCATCTATCGAGCTAGTAGGATTTATTTTATTATTCATCAATAATCAAATTCAGAACTTGAATATTCAACTGCAATGTCTGCTCATTAACGCTTCAAACTCGGTACTTCTTTCCCAATTCCATAAAATTCAAAACTTAGAAAGTGACAAAAAACTTTAAAATAGGTAGTTGAAACAGACTACAGCTAATTTTCATAGTGGACTGTACTATACGATAAACATGTCAGTCAATTTGACAACCTTTGTCGGAAACATTATTCAATGAAAATATAAGTAGTCCGAACCGTTAGTATTTCTCTTCGACAAATACATTAACACATTGTGAACCACTTTTCTTTCACGACTATAAAAATATTTTAGCAATTTAATTCACTAAATCAATTGCACACATTTAAAATAAAGTTTGTTTACACTTTGACAACAATAGACTGACATGCAAGGTGACATGTCAATGAAGTTTTCAGTTACTGTTGCCATTAAAAGAAATTAGTACCATTAGTTTTCCGCAACATGGCGAGGGTTTTTATGTTCCAGTGGGTCTAGACAAAGTGCAAATTATAATCGCAAACCAGTCGCAAAGTGGTCGAAAAGCCCCTTTTTTGTATGGAGTTTTGACGGATTCGATTTTCGATTCGATCAAAAAGTGCGTTTTGTCTAGGGGGGCTGGTCAGGCTATAAACAAACCCAATGTCATGGGTGAACCCGTCTGACTTTGACATAGGTATTTGGCAGGAGAACGAGACATTACGAAAAATACACAAGATGGGAAGAGACAGAATATATTGTCAACTCGACAGTCTTATCGACCTTTTGTATCGCTGCTAGTTGGCCGTACTTTAGATAGTTAAAAACACAATGGGGGCAATGGGTCAATTTGCACTACACTTAGGCTTGTGGGATTCCTTAAGGGTGGCATTTTTCTGTCAGTGAACGCCTTACGGTTGAAAAAAAAGGCTCTCTTAGTAGAAAACCTTTGGACGAAGAATTAAACTTACTATAAAAATATTAAAGTAAGGAAATGGATGACACTTTTGATACTCTTTAATTATTGGCAACACTTGAAAGGTGAAACATCTTGACCTAGATCATAATTACTTTTTATCAAATTGAAATCGATATTACGTCATCTAGCCTCTATATAGAGGAGGTAAGTTTACAGGTTAATTGACAAAAAACTTAAGTATAACTTAAAAATTACTAACTAACCTGCGAATAGGGCCAGAGCCAACACAAAAACCGACGCCATCTTTTTGCAAATGAAGTTCAATTCAAACTAAAAACTTTATTAACGGTTTATATACGCCCTAGAAAGATAATTAAACTTAATTTTATTTCCTGATAAATTTAAATGATTGATTTATCAATTATTACAATAGATAAACCTGTCACTATATTATTATGTTACTATCTTATTATTCTACTAGCGGCCGCCCGCGACTTCGTACGCGTGGATCCCGTTTTACTCCCTTCATCTATCTTACGCGGTTTAGACTTTTTCATACAAATGTTTATTCCCGTGGGAATTTTGCAATATCCTGTTGTAACTAAGCTTTAAGTTTACTAAGGTACCTGCATGCCAAATTTCAAGCGTCTAACTTAAGCAGTTAAGATTTTTCATACAAAAAGATTTTCCCGCTAATTCCCGTTCCCGTGGAAATTTCGGGAATTCCTTGTTGTAACTAAGCTTTAAGTTTACTAAGGTACCTACATGCCAAATTTCAAGCGTCTAACTTAAGCGGTTTAGATTTTTCATACAAAAGGATTTTCCCGCTAATTCCTATTCCCGTGGGAATTCCTAAGTATACTATAACCTGCCCAAGAGTATGAAGAATAATCGTACCAAGTTTCGTTAAAATCCGTCAAGTCTTTGTTTCTATAAGGAACATACAGACAGACAGACAGACAGACAAAAAATTTACTGATTGCATTTTTGGCATCAGTATTGATCACTAATGACCCCCTGATGGTTATTTTGAAAATATGTTTCATGTACAGAATTGACCTCTCTACAGATTTATTATAAGTATAGATTTCCAGTAAAGATACTGGGACCATTGCTCTTTCTGATTTATATAAATGATCTACCTTTTTATTCAAAGGATCTTTGTGAGATAGTATTATTTGCTGATGACACTTCTTTAATTTTTAAAACTAACAGGAAACATTTTACGACGTGAATACTAACGTGAATAATGCTCTTTCCAAAGTATTAGACTGGTTTACAACTAATAATTTGCTATTAAATGCAAAAAAAACTAAGTGTTTAAAATTCACTATGCCTAATGTCAAACAAGTTTATACTAATATTAAAGTAAATAATGAACGTATTGAACTGATAAACTCTACTGTCTTTCTAGGTATTACCCTAGACTNTAGGTATGTATAAGTAATAATCAATGCTATACTGTTATATAAATAAGCTCTTAAGTTGCACAGCAGGCTATGCTATGGAGAGGGTTATGCTCGGTGTTTCTTTACGAGATTGAATCAGAAATGAAGACATCCGTAAACGAACTAAAGTCCCGACGGATTAGCAATCTGAAGTAGCAATGGGCAGGGCACTAGGGCATGGAATACCGGAATAAGTTTTATACCGGTATTGATACCGGTATTGAAATTTCAATTACCGGTATACCGAAATTTCGGTATTTTTTCGGTATTTATTGAGATACTGCTATTTACTGTTTAAATGTTTCCAAGAACGATTAGTAAGTCTCGTTTGCGAAAAGTTATTAATAGGCCAGTAGAATAAGACGTGAAAATTTATCAAATCGGAAATAATTCCTAAAGGTTTTGTTTTAATAGCTTCATTTGTTGCTCATTAAGACTATCCTAAGTTTTCGACTTCGACGGATCTAAACTGAATAATTATTTTGATTTTGATTTTTTGATTTTAGATGTTGTTTTGAAAGTTAATATCTACACTCGGCGTCAAAGAAATCGCACCTCCCGAGGCAATAACTTTAAAGATTTTCTTTAGACACAATCATGGCGCTACACCAATATTGATTTTATTTGAAAGCGCAATTAAATAAAGTTAAGAAAAGCACATTTAATTTATTTATAAACAGTTAACAGGTACCATAAATATGACTTGAAAAAAGGTCACTTCTGAGACCAATTACACCAATTTTTGTGGCTATAAAACCAAATAATTATCTCATGTGTCCTCTTTAACAGATGGTTAGCGTATAATCCGAATTCACAGTTTTATAGCCATAAAAATTGGCTCAAGCGTAACTACCTGTGACCTGTCGCTTTAAGAAGAAACACTAGATCCTTCTAAAGACATAATTATTTTATATAGGTATGGGGGGTTTTAAAAAACCTTTCCTTTAATGAATTTAAATTTAAATGGTACTAATATTGGCGGGAAGTGCCATTTTTTACGCTGAGTGTATTTAATCATCTTTGTAGATAAATAGATAGCTATCTAAAGTAATAAAGACTATTATTTATTGCACACCGGACTATAAAAAGAAATAGGTGCACAAATTGAACGGCACAATCTGACGGTCTTGTTGTTAGTTGCTCTTTTTTGACAACCCGAGAGAGGAAAATTGTCAAAACAACAATGAATTGTAGGCAGCTACTACCGAAGTACCTACATTTAATTTTTAAAACCGTTTTTATCTACTCGTGTCTCGTATTCTCCAATAGACTTCCAACTTTATTATACAACCTAATAACTGTTTAGGCAGAGTAAATACAAATGAGTAGGTCATCTTCATAGAAACGCATCGTATATGAGCGGTTTGTATGTGAGCGCGCCAACACGTATGCGGCGCGCACGCACACACTGACAAAATTTAGCGGGGATTAGCGGGGAGCCAGTCGTGGTTGCGCCGAATTTTGTCAGTGTGTGCCGCATACGTATATTGGCGCGCTCACATACAAACCGCGCTCGGTGCATTTCTATGAAGATGACCTACTCATTTGTACTCATTTGTAGCACACAGGCACACAACACATCAACTGTGACATCCTATGTAAACTCTGATTTTTAATTCGACGGAATTTTGACATTTCAGAAGTGTTGCTAACATAGAAACATTCCCACTAAGAATGGAGAGCATTTCCACAAATTAAAAAATAATCCTTTCTTGAATTTAAGGTTTCACTTGAAAAACTAAGGCTTAAAAATGTACTGATCATTTCAAAATGGTTATTTGAATTTTTGTTATCATATTTTTGAAGTTGCAAAAAAAATTGGGAAATTATTTTTCTATTACTGGACTCCCTGGCCAATAATCCATGGGTTACAAACCTTTTTTATGAAAATCCTTTTGTTAATAAAATCTTAGCTTCATAAAATAATCAATTTAACCAGATGCCAATTTTATAATCCAAGTTGATGATGGTGACGATAATGATGATTGATGATCAATACATATTTTCTTTTATGATAATATGTTGTTTTACTGTGTTAAAAACACGTTTTTTTTCTATTTAATCTCTAAAATGTACATAATTATTAGTGTACATTGAATTCACAAAACAAACAATAGTTCATTCTTGTAAGTTGTAGTTCATGAAATTTCATTTCATATTATTTATTAATAATTCAAAGCAAAAAAGGCTTATTACATCTGAATTGTCAAAAAATGACAGCTGTCAGAATTCCGTCGAATTAAAAATCAGACTATAGAAAGATAGAATTACAAATGACTAATTTACCAACTTCACTAGAAACCTATTTTTAAAATATGTAGACAACACTCTAGTTGTCTGTCACGAAATTTTCCTCTATTTGAAATTCAATNTATCAAATCGGAAATAATTCCTAAAGGTTTTGTTTTAATAGCTTCATTTGTTGCTCATTAAAACTATCCTAAGTTTTCGACTTCGACGGAGGTGTGGTGGGGCCCCCCGAAAGGGGCATTTTTCCGGTTTTATGGTTATACCGTATAAATAAAGGACTTACAGTATAGAAAATTGATCTTCATGGCAGGTGAAGGGCATTTAATCCTGCATTGAATAAGATGAAATTCATATATTTTAGACAAACCGTTTTCGTGCTTATCTTCGACAAAGTAAAAAATATGCGTATAATTAATGACCCTCTCTAAGTTCAATGGCTCGTCACCCGCTGGCTCCCAAGCCTTGAAAAGGGCCTCCTTAACCAGCGTATTCCTGTCAAGCCTCGCGAGTTGGATTCGCCTATCCTTATTCATCCCAGCCGTTCCTTTACTACGGTTGCTGCGCCTCTTCCTTGCTCTCTCTTGAACGACTTTCGTGTTATCTACTGTGGCTGCCCCTCTTCCTGGCACCCTCCTGTACGACTGCGTTGCCTATTCTTATGCCTGGTCCAAGGTTCGACTCCAATAATCAACAACAACAGTTTCATATTAAAACGCTGAAGAGTTTGTTTGTTTGAATGCACTAATCTCAGGAACTACTAGTTTGATTTAAATAATTATTTTTGTGTAGGATGGCTCGTAAATTGAGGAAGGCTATAGGATATTATACGATCACGCTACGTCTAATAGGGGCGAAGCAGTAAAGAAAAATGTTGCAAGCACGGGAAATAGTATTCAAACTATTTTCACGCGTACAAAGTTGATTTCGTGGCGTCGAACCTTGGACCAGGTATACGGCTAGGCAACGCAGTCGTGCAGTAGGGTGCAAGGAAGAGGAGCAGCCATAGTAGATAACACAGAGTCGTTCAAGAGAGTGCTGGGAAGAGTTTCAGCAACCGTAGTTAAGGATCGGCTGGGAATAAGGATAGGCAAATCCAACTCGTGTGGCTTGACAGGGATACGCTGGTTAAGACGGCCCTTTTCAAGATTTGGGAGCCGTGTGGTGACGAGACATTGGACGTAGAGAGGGTCATTAATTAATACGTATATTTTCGTGCTTATTAAGATGCTCGTGCTCGCTTCAATGATATTATCAGCAGAACTGACTTGACTCAATCGATTATTGGAATCGATATTATGATGATTCGAATCATTATCATCTGAATCAATATTAAAAATAAGCATAAAAATAAAAAGAGATGGTGTAAAACCTATCAATGACTTTCCATTAGTTGAAAAACTGCCGATATTGCAAAATAAAATCACTTTTTTCGAAAAACCGAAATACCGGTATCAAAATACCGAAAATTTTGACCGATATACCGGTATTTCGGTATACCGGTATACCGGTATCCATGCCCTACAGGGCACATAGTACGCAGAACTGACAGCCAAGGGGACAGCAAGGTTCTGGAGTGGGAGCCATGTACTAGAAAGAGCAGCGTAGGACGACCACCCACAAGATTGACCGGCGACCTCATAAAAGAAGCAGGAAAGCGCTGGATGCAGGGCGCTACCAACCGATGGAAATAATTGGGGGAGGCCTATGTTCAACAATGGTAGTCCTATGGCTGATATTATGATGATAATGATCATGAATAAATTCTATTTGGACCAAAAATACCCTGATGCCCTGTTAAATATAATACACATAGGTGTATTTTGTAACTTTATAGTAAGTTTGTTCAGTAAAATACGGGAACTACGGGCAGGTTTAATATTTGCATAAGAAAACTCTGGGTCCCAACACCCACCAGATTTTTATCGTCAGAAAAATACATGTAAATTTCATACCCACGGGAGCAGCTAGCCTAAATTAACTGGACCCAGGATTCTTATTCGGAGTCATTGGGTTCAAGGCGATTCACTGCATTCTACTCATATACCTTTACGTAAAGTGCTCTGTTTTCAACTCTCATAATCGTAGGTACTACGACTACATGAATTTCTTAATCTCAAGTTTTTTAACACTCAACGCGGAGGCTCTTGGCCTGCATCTCACCTGATGGAAAGTGATGTTCCGCGAAGGTGTCTCGTTCAATTTACTAAGAGCTAAAAAAAACTACGAATGATAAAAAGGAAATTAAACAAATACATTCATCTCTTATTCCATTTATTTTACAAAAGTGGAATTAAATAGGTATAACATGTCAATATCTAAGATGAAGTGGTGGCCACAATCCATGGAGTGTAAGGAGAGACGGCGGTGTTGACGCCAGGGAAGCCATCCTGAAGACAGCCGTTACCCCAGGAGATGACACCGACGATGATGTTGCCGAAGTAGACTGGGCCACCGCCGTCACCCACGCAAGCATCAGCAGTGGAGGAACCGGCGCAGATCATGTTAGAAGTGACTTGGGGAGAGGATGAGAGAGTGGCGTAGTTGGAAGCGCAGACTGAGTTGTCCAGGGTCAGCACTTGGATGGATTGGAGCTCCTCAGCACGGTCTCCGCCGACCTGGAAGGAAAAGATGATATTGAAATAATGTTTCTACAAATTGACACGATTTGTAACGTACTGATCAACGACCAGGTAACCCAAAACATAGCCTGTCTTAGCGCCTTAAAACAAGGAAGGCAGACTCCAAATGAAACGGGAAAAAGCATAGCAGAAGAAGAAGAAAAAGGCGCTCTAAAAGAAGATAAAGACTATCCTTTGTTGTTCAATCTATAATGTAACTCTGATCTAGAACATTGAAGTATAGCTTCAAAAATCTTACCGCGGTAACTCCCCATCCGAGCTTGGTCACGGGCAGGTTACCAGGGATGGTGGTGCCAGCAGCGACGATGGACCCAGGCGCGATGGTGGAGCTGAAGATGAGAGCTGAGCTCAGCCTCACGACCGTGATGTCACCATCGTTGCCGTTCTGGCCGTAGCTGGGGTGGTTGTTCTCTTGGGCCACGTAGACGATGATACCGGACTCAAGAGTGCTGGATCCAGCCCTGATACGGCGGTTGGATGCATCGTATCCACTGTAACCAAGAAATTGATAGTGTCAGCAAAAATATTACTCATTTGTATGCCAGAAATAGAAAGAAAACATTTCTTGTGCTTTTCCATCATTTAAATCCAGCTGAATTTAATCGTTTTATCGTCGCTTACGTTGAAATATGTGGACCATTAACTTAATGGCATTAAGTCAGGCATCCGAAAAATAATTAAAAGGTCTGCCTGTCTGCTAGGACTGCAGATAATTTCAAAGAACCTATGTAAATAGTATTAAGAGCTTGCTCTTGATAATAATCTCGCCTTGAATTCGCAGTGCAGTACATGCCTTCTACGTTGGAGCCGTTTTCCCAGAGAATGCCTTTTCACTCGAACCTCCAAAAGGCTTTAAGGTTCTATGTTTTGAGGTCCGAGGAACACAAACTCCAGCTGCAATTGATAGCAAAGTCCACTTACGTTCCAGCGAAGCAATGGGCCGCAGAGAGGATGGATACGGAGTTGAGGATGCTACCAGCGCAGTGATGGGACCAGAAGATGCCGCCGACGGTCGACTCCACCTGCACGATGGAAGGCCAGGTCTCAATAGAGGTCGAACTGCCCCCGATGATGCGAGCGGGGTTGGCTGACGCTGCAGCTGTGAAATAAAAATCAATATGTAAAGTACGGCCAAAGAGAAGCGATACCAAATGTAAACAAACCCAATGTCATGGGTGAACCCGTCTGACTTTGACATATTTGGCGGGAGAACGAGACATTACGACAAATACACAAGATGGAAAGAGACAGAATATATTGTCAACTCGACAGTCGTATCGACCTTTTGTATCGCTGCTAGTTGGCCGTACTTTAGATAGTTAAAAACACAATGCGATGGCTCCTACGTATAAGGGCGAAACTGCCGCTTACGCCTTTTTCCAATTATTTAAGCAATGATTTCACTTTGCTCTAATCTATAACATCAGTAAGAAAAAAATTTTTTTTTTCCATTAGATACAAAATAAAATTTTAGGCAAATAGGCGTATGTGCAAAACTGCGCCACGTATAAAGCCCAATCATACGATTCGTCAATCTATACGAGTAGTTGCTTACATAAACATATATTTTTTATAATCCAAATCTTAAATAAAGCCATGAAAATATTTAGCAAATTGTTTTATTTATAAATTATGACACATTATATAGTTATTTAATTTTTAGCGTTAAGAGTCGCATCTCAAACTAATTTGAAAATTATAAATAACTTGAAAAAATCGAACTGCCTAAGGCATCGTGGGTTCAATTCCCGCCTTAGGCAATTCGATTTTTTCAAGTTATTTATATTTTTTAAAAATATGACACATTATGTTAAAAGACCTAACTAAATCTCGAGCACAGTATATGGGCGTATTTGCGTTAAAACGTAAAACGGTACATTAAACGACTTTTTCTAACTGATTTATTATTGATATAGCACATGATAACAATTAAAATAATTACATGCATAAATAAAGAGAGTAATCGCTTAAAATATTATATTTACGTTGTCATTTAAGTCTCTTTACGTTGAACAATATACATGAAATTATAGAAATATGCCGACGTAAAAGGGCAATGCGTAAAATCTCAAAATATATAAGAAAAATATAAAAATTGATAACAGCAGTAGCAAAAGCATTACATGTTAAGGCTAAATGTGAAATTTAATAAAATTCGTTTTAGTAGGTCAGAAGATATGACCCAAAAATATGGTTCTGGCCACTAAAATGGCTCTCCTGTAAAATTTACTTTTTTCACTTACGCCAGTATACGTAGGAGCCATCGAATGGGGGCAATGGGTCAATGTGCACTACACTTAGGCTTGTGGAATTCCTTAAGGGTGGCATTTTTCTGTCAGTGAACGCCTTGCGGTTGAAAAAAAAGGCTCTCTTAGTAGAAAACCTTTGAGCAAAGAATGAAACTTTACTATAAAAATATGAAAGTTAGGAAATGAACCAATTTCTTTTTAGGTGTCGATTTGATTAACTTTCGTTGAGTCGTTTGTGGAGCTACAATTATACCGTACTTTATTTGCTAGTTAAAATAATGACCATGTGTGACACTTTTGATATGCTTTAATTATTGGCAACACTTGAAAGGTGACACATCTTGACCTAGGTCATAATTACTTTTTATCAAATTGAAATCGATAATGTTACGTCATCTAGCCTTTAGAGGAGCTAAGTTTACAGGTAAATTGACAAAAAACTTAAGTATAACTTAAAAAATATTAACAAACCTGCGAATAGGGCCAGAGCCAACACAAAAGCCGACGCCATCTTTTTGCAAAAGAAGTTCAATTCAAACTAAAAAGTATGTTAACGGTTTATATACGCCCTAGAAAGATAATTAAGCTTAGTTTTATTTCCTGATAAATTCAAATTATTGATTTATCAATTATTACAATAGATAAACTTGTCACTATATTTTATGATACTATCTTATTATTCTATTTTCAGTAAAGATGTTGTTTTGAAATTTATTTTCAAAACACTCGGCGTCAAAGAAATCGCACCTCCCACGGCAATAACCTTAAAGATTTTCTTTTGACACAATCATGGTGCTCCGCCAATATTGATGATTTGAAAGCGCAATTCAATAAACTTAAGAAAAGCACTTTTTTTTTTATAAACAGTTTACAAATCTATGTAAGACCACTTATGTACCTGGAATTACGCAAATAAAGAAATTTGATTTGATTTGATTTGACAGGTACCTAGGTACTATAAATATGACTTGAAAAAAGCCAAGCTCTCCCTCACCTCTGAGACCAATTACACCAATTTTTGTGGTTATAAAACCGAATAATGATCCCATGATGTGTCCTCTTTAACAGATGGTTAGCGTAATAATCCCAATTCAACAGTTTCATAGCCATAAAAATTGGCTCAAGCGTAATTACCTGTGACCTGTCGCTTTAAGAAGAGACACTAGATCCTTCTAAAGATATAATTATTTTATATTGGGGGGTTTTAAAAAACCTTTCCTTTAATGAAATGAAGTTTAGAAATGGCTTTTAAATTGTACCAATATTGGCGGGAAGTGCGTTTTTTTTGACGCTGAGTGTACTTAATCATCTTTGTAGATAAATAGATATCTATCTAATGTAATAAAGCCTAATTTATTGCACACCGGACTATAAAAGGATTGTAGGCATCTACTACCTAAGTACATTTAATTTTTAAAACCGATATCTACTCGTATTCTCCAGTAGACTTTGAACTTTATTATACAACCTAATAAATGTTTAGGTATTTATATCGTCCATGCAGCTGCGACAGCATATAGGCAGGCACATAGCACATCAACTGTGACATGTGTATGTGTAAATTACAATCAATGCTATACTGTTATAAGCTCTAAGTTGCACAGTGGGCTATAGGGAGCGTTATGCTCGCTGTTTCTTTACGAGATTGAATCAGAAATGAAGAGATCCGTAAACGAACCTAAGTCTCCAACATCCCGACGGATTAGCAAGCTGAAGTAGCAATGGGTAGGGCACATAGTACGCAGAACTGACAGCCAATGGGATAGCAAGGTTCTGGAGTGGATGCCACGTACTGGAACTACTGGAAAGAGTAGCGTAGAACGACCACCCACATAATATCCACTCATAATGGTAGCAGGAAGGCGCTGGATGCAGGTCGCTACCAACCGATGGATTGGGGATCATTGAGGGAGGCCTATGTTGTAACAGTGGACGTCCTATGGCTGATATGTTGATAATGATGATGATGAATCAATGCTTTTTGGAATATAAATACCCTGATGCGCTGTCAAGTAGGTATTAATACACATAGGTGTATTTTGTAACTTTATACTTAGTAGGTTCAGTAAAGTACGGGAAGGTTTAATAATTTGCTTAAGAAAATTTCTCTGGACACTGGGAGATTCCAACAAGCACCAGATATTTTTATAGTCAGAAAAATACATGTAAATTCGATGCCCACGGGAGTAGCTAGCCTTTATTTTTTTTTACCGGACCCAGGATTCTTATTTCGGAGTCATTGGGTTTAAGTAGAATGCGTCTACTCATATACCTCTACGTAAAATGCTCTGTTTTCAACTCTGGTCGTCGTACTACCAGGCCTGTTCATCTCCGCGAGTTGGCCCACCTACAGGATACTATTCGAAAAGGCCTCACATACGAGCGAACATTGACTCACGCACGCGTATTCTTGTGTATGATGAAAGAAAATAAAGAAAATGGTGTACTAAATACTGTGCAGTATTTAACTGCCTAAATAATAATAAAAACACAGATTGTACTTTTTTAAGTTGCCTCAAGACACTGAGAGGTAAATAAGTAGTTAATATTATTCATGATAAATCATGTATTTCCTCCGCTATTTTCCGCAGTTTGGCACCTCACGTCACATCATTTTTCCGAAGTCAGCCCTATAGCTTCGGCGCAGTGCCGATCACTGACGTTTGTCAACAAAATGGTGCTTGACTCTTGAGACAAGCTAAATTACCCCATATTGTTAATGACATTGAGCATACATTTTTACTACGACTACAAGAATTTCTAAATCTCAAGTTTTTTAATCCTCAAAGCGGAGGCTCTTGGCCTGCATCGCACCTGATGGAAAATGATTTTCAGGCCGAAGGTTGAATTCTCAAGTCCTCTGTGAAGTTCCCAATTCCTCTGTGTTGAATACTCAAGTCAACACAGAGGAACGACCTGTTTTACGTTTCAACCACACCAACGCTTGCAGATCGCTATCGCCGGCGCGATCACAATATGCAAATGACAGGTATAAATAAATAAGAATGACAGGTCGCGCGACCCATGACAGTCCGCGCGACCTGTCATTCTAATTTGATCGAGCCAGCGATGGGGATCCGCAGTTCTGCAAAGCTTTAACTCTCTTACTAGCGAAACACAATAATGTTGAACATTGTTGTTATGGTGATAAACTTAGGCAACGCCTCTGTGATCCAGGCTGGATCCACTCCCACTGGATCATCCAGTGGAAAGAGACTATAGAATTACGGATTCTTGGTTTTAGGGTGGAATACACTAAGACCTGGTTTCCACCAAAGTGGAAATAAAGCGAATGTGATATGATGTTTATGAAGCAAGTGGTGATAGCCTTAGGATAGAATAAGAGTCTTAGTAAATGGTACTAATGGAAACTTGCATTGTGCAAATCTTCTTAAATATATAAAAGGAAAAACTGACTGACTGACTGACATATCAACGCACAGGATAAACGGCTAAACGTAGGCACTTGAAATTTGGAAGGGACGTAGCTTAGATACCGTAGAGGTGCACTAAGAAAGGAATTCCCGAAATTCCCACGGGAACGGGAATTAGCAGGATTATCCTTTTGTATGAAAAATCTAAACCGCGTACGAAGTCGCGGGCGTCCGCTAGTAGCCTATCTACTTATACCATAGAACAAGAATCTTAGTAAGTAAGTGGTCACTAATGGAAACTTGCAATGTGCATGCGCCTGCACAACAATGCCTAAAACTGAAACTCCAGCATTTTAATATGGTATTTTATATTTTTTATAGGTTCTACTTATATGATTTTCATACAAAAACGAGCAAACATCATATTTTAAAAGGTAGTACCTACCTACATACATATTAACATCGTTTTTGAGCTGACTTTATTTTGTGTTAGCTTTATCCCTACTTTGTAGCGCCCATTGTAGGTTATTTAGGACACCAAAGCATCTATACGAATAAGTCTGTTACGATTTTTCAGGGTTAATGGGCATGCTTCCTGCTGGTGAAGGGCTGGGGTATAAAATACATTGAAATAAAACGCTCCATTAACAACTTCAATACCAAATAAATATATTAAACAGCAGTAGCCGCGATCCAGTTGGTGTATGAGGCAACATTGGTGCTGACTCCAGGGAAGGTCTCGTTAGCGCAGCCGTGACCCCAGGAGACGACTCCAACGAGGATATTTCCATAGTAGAGGGGACCGCCAGAGTCACCCTGGCAGGCGTCGCGGCCTCCAACGTCCAAGAGACCAGCGCAGATCATGTTCGCGGTGACGAAGCCAGGGTTAGGCAGGGTCAGGTACCTTTCACGGCATAGGTTGTTGTTGACGGTGTAGATGATGGTGTCCAGGAGAACAGAGGACATGGTGCTGCTGTCTCCAGCCTATAGGGGAAAGGACATTGATTTAAGATATAAAAATGTAGTAGTACATTTGCACTACTAGAGACCTAACTAACGTTCTTCTGATTAATTTCGTTGCGGTTCCAATGACAGTTTAACTTTCCCCCGGGACAAACTTGACCTTCACTAGTAGGGTTTTATTGGCAGTCAAGCTGCAGATCCTGGCTACACAGGAGTTGTAGCACTTGTAGTGGTGGGAAAGAGAGGTAGGTATAATTCCCGTTTAAAGCCAGCTTAGGCTTGTCAGAAAAAGAGTAAGCCAAATTGTAGTGAATGGTTTAAAGACAAGACATCATCACGGTTGAACTATCACTTACTACTGTGGTTCCCCAACCAGCGTGGACCACTTCGAGACCGTCAGGGATCGTCGCGTCCTGGTAGACGATGACTCCTTGCTGCACTTGCAGAGAGTACACGAAGGGGGTGACCAGTCTGACCACAGTGATGTCAGCGTCGTAACGGGCCGCTACCCTGTACTCGGGGTGGTTGATTTCCCGCTCAATGTAGTTGATGGCACCTCCATTGTTGCGGGTGGCAGTGCCAGATCTGATGCGTCGGAGTCGGGGGGAGTAAGTCCTGAAATTATAATATTTGACTTTATACTTGCTATCAGATTAAATCCACATCGAAAATAGACGAATGAAAAGTCAAAAGTATTAAGTGAAGAAGCTATTGAAATCTGAGATAAAGGTTTCGATCTTCATTTGGGCCTAGTAAAATTCGACCTTTTTAGTATTTTCAAATCAAAAGGACCTTATTTATTAATAATGTACAACTGACTATCTATAGTGGAGAGTTTCCCAAGAATATCCCTTTACCACTATGGTATTCAAAGATTGGCTCGTGCATCATCGGTCACTAATCAAGGATGCCCTGAATTAAAACCATGAATCATGATACTTACGCTCCCTCGAAGCAGTGAGCAGCAGACAGGACGTACAACACATTGAGGATATTGGCAGCACAGGATTGTGACCAGGTGGTACCAAGAAAGTTACTGAACTCCACTTGGACTATAGAAGGGTACTGTTCAATGGTCGCTTCCTGACCACCGATGATTCTGTGGAAGGCTGAGCAGCTGGACACTGGAAGAAGAAAAAGAAGAAGCCATATAGAGCTACGTCATCGTTGAAAAAAACTTGAGGTCACAGTCATTAAAAGATGGGGCTTGACAAAGAGTTCACAGTGAGAGAAGGTGTCGAACTACTCAATTTAGAACCCTGAACCACAAAAATTTTGCAAGTCATTGCTTGATGTAAAAAAAACTTTTAGGTAACAGCTGTGTCTTTATGTGTTACCTGGATAAATAGTATAAAGACCTTTTTAAGAGCAAGAGTGAGAGAGAAGCTTAGCAGGATGTGCCACCCGGGATTTCATCTACACTTTTTCATTATTAGATAATGCAATCATGCCTCCTACGGCTAAATAATGACTATTTACGAGGTGGTAAAAGTGACTTTTGATTGAGATATCTATTGGCCTAACTAGAATTACTTACCTGCTAACAGAGCCACGGCCAAAACCAAGAATTTCGCCATATCGCTGGTCAGAACCATGAACTAGTACTGAGGCACCAATGTTGAAAACTTCTTTTATACCAAAATACGTAAATGATACCATTGATCCATTTATTGCTGCTACTGGATTTACCCGACATGCCTATTTAGCGGCATGTATACATTTTATCTATGACGCGATAGTCACAGTCTGGTAATCTTAGGTTAAGAACGCTATATTTATTTACTAGCTTTCCGCCCGCGGCTTCGCCCTAGTGGAATTTTGTCTGTCGCAGAAAAACTTTATCGCGCACATCCCTGTTTCAAAAACCAGGATAAAAACTACCCTATGTCCTTTCCCGGGACTCAAACTATCTCTATGCCTCATGAAAATCGGTTCGTCGGCCATTCTCAGATGAGCTAGTTTTTACGTGTCCGGGCTGTTAAATCGTTAAAAATAACAAATTAGAGACATGCAAGTATTTTTATATGTTACTTAGCAACCCTATCCAGTTGTGCATTAAATCATAGGCCTCTATTTTAAGTATTTGTGTCTAAATTAATTTTATGAAACCCTGTTCTCTAATTACCGTTACGCGTCCGCACACCGACTTAATGTTAAAAGTTGGCTGTAATTTTTATGTCGTAAAGATTTGGTTTACTCCATTCAACATTTTAAAGAGTATAAAAGATTGTCTTATGCATGGCAAAATATCTATCTGTAAAAAACTAGCCAAGTCTCGATGGAGCTGCTTGTTTATCTCTAAAAAGTAATGAAATCTAGACAAAGTCGTGCCAAGTCTATGGTTCCTTACTGCGATTTCTTTATTATTATAGTTAATGTTGTGTGACTTGGCCGTTGAAGGGTGACAAAACCAGGTGCTCCATGACACCATTGCACCAATCAGTCGCCTGAACCGCTACCCACTGACGATGGAAAATTGCCAATTGGAAAACGTTGATTCAACAATAACCAGTCAATTGTAGGTTCAGTAAAGCTGCGTATTTATAATGTATGATTATCTTAATAAAGATTGTTCAACGGCCAAGTCACACAACATTAACTATAATAATAAAGAAATCGCAGTAAGGAACCATAGACTTGGCACGACTTTGTCTAGATTNTTGGGGAATGTCTATGTCCAGTAGGTACCTAGTCTTAAAGGAAGATGATGAGAAAAGTCCAGGTTATGAAGTTACTATTGCTACTTTTTATGCGAACGACCTACTCTATGTCCCCTGACATTCAATAGTACCTCAGGGCGCGTAATAGCTGGAGTTCGTTCACAGTTCGTAGTAAACTGGCTGATCGAGCGAGCGGACATGCCCAATTGGCCCCCCTTGTCGCTCCGCATCGACTCTTGCGCACGTGGAGTCGCAAACATCGTAGTGGCTAGTGATGTACCTAGCCTAAATTGATTTAAAAAGGAACAGGTAGGTGAAGACTGGAGTGACGTGAATAAAATTCTTATGTGTAACACCATACAAAATCTATCATTGATGAATTATTTCCAAGTTCTTTCGGTACAGTCAGCGTCAAATACTTTAATCATGTCGTGACACCCAAAGTGGCCAAAAAGTTGATAACACAACCTTATTCCAATTGTAACAAAGACATGTTGTGATATTGTGTTTGGCTACTTTGGATGTCATTGTACCAAAAACATTGACAAATTGTATTGTAAAAGGTACCTACTTAAAACGATTTGATAAAAAATTAAGCATTAAACTATATCTTTTCATTATAATATCATAAGTAAACTCTCGAAAGGACATAACGACCATCTACCTTAAAAAAGCAACACTCAAACATCAAAAGTGCTATCAAATTCTATTCTCGTAAGTAGGTAGTACTTATTTCAGAATAATGTAAAATAAAATATAGGTGGATCCAAATTAAGCGTGTCATCTGTTGATTGCTTACCATATTTGCAATGAAATTGCGTTTATTTATACCTATAAAATCGTTTCATAGACTGAATGATGTATGCGGCATCATTCCAGCACTAGACAACATGTTTTCTAACCTAGGTCGAGAGACGCAATAGCTGCTGCTGTTCGCGAAGTTTCTAGTACTAGATTGATTGTTATTTCGCCGGGCTCGTTGATTTACGTGCCACTGTGCACTACTGTGCAGGTGTTAAAACAGTATTTTAACACCTTTGCTGCGGCAGTAACTTTCTAATACTTTCCATTCCTTCGGTACAAGGTCAGTAAACCTGGTATTAAAACTTACATTGTGGCGGCACAAGGCTTAAAGACCTTGTAATATTTAAGATATATTAATTTTATTTTTGGCTTCATATTAATAGATATTGTGTTTTTTNTCGTATAGATAACTAGCTGTGCCCGCCACTTTGTACGTGTGAAAATAGTTTGAATAATATTTCCCGATTATGCAAAATTTTTCTTTACTGCTTCGCTCCTATTGGTTGGAGAGTTATGTTTTATGTATAGCCTCCTTCCTCAATAAAAGTCCTGAGATTAGCGCGTTCAAGCAAACACACAAAAAACTCTTCAGCTTTATAATAAGTATAGAGTATAGATTTTATTGTACTTCTTTAGGATTTAAATATGATATACATAATATGCAACAAATAGATAATATAATTTAAGTAGGTATCTGTTTGATAAAAACAGACCTTGGGGGAATTAGTCATGTTTTTAAATCCTAGAGAAACAATCTAACTAATTGTGTACCTTGGCTACTATTAAGGCTGATGAAAAAATCCAAAATCAAATCCCTTTTCATCTTAAGGTTAGTTCCTCTATTTATTATTTTTAAACTAGGTAGGTACAGTCGACAACACATAAAGCTATACATTTTCGTTGCAAAGTCGCCCCTATCGCAACTACGTAAGATAACAAAGTGTTTACGTTGACGTGCTGTTGACCGTACATACTTTTCTTGTTTTTTAAACTTGAAAAAAATGAATTGCCGAAAGTGGGAATCGAACCCACGATAATTCAAGTTATTCGTACCCTACCCTAATATTATTATCAATCTATGCGTTCCTTTTGTCTTAAAACAAAATCCGTGAAAATCTCCCATCTTCTTCATGTGGTGTCGACTACAAACCTACTATCAGCCCAAAACCAAAACTCTGCTACAAGAGTGGCGTTGTCAGTAGCATTCATAAAATCATCCTGCGTGCAGTTGTTTGGGCACGCAGGGCACGATATCAGGTGTCGACTGGGTCGACTTCCAATTTGAATTTGAACCGAAGACATTTAGAAGATCAGAACCACCTCTATCGAAGGCTTTACTCATGTCGAGTAGGAGGCCTACTGCATATTTTTTGTTATTTATTTCATCCAAGACATTCCTAACGTATATACAGGATGATGTTGTAATCGGTATCCAATTTTTTTTAATAAGCTCTATGTATAGAACATTTTAACTATACATCTTTATCTTCATTATTCAAATGTAATTTACAATAATCATAATATATAATTATGTCGCGTACCATTATGTCTATTAAGCTCTTTAGTTAACTGTGTGTACGTATTTTTCTGTGAACGAAGCAAATCATCCACGTGAGCCAATTTTGAAACCGCGCGCAGCGGATAAAAAGAATTAAATAAGAATAAAACATTATCGTTTTCTTTACGTTAATCGATTAAGATACTGATTCTGAATCACTCCTAAAAATTTTGATACTGATAACAAAATCATTCTGTATAATGCTAAAGTCGTAGAGCGGTTTTTCCATGTACCTAATCAATATCATTTCCATTGTTATCCAAGATTCAGTAAGCTTAGTAATACCAGTAGGCCTAGAATCAGCGCCGTAATAAGCGTTTATCGTCTCATTCAGATGAATGTAATTGTTAAACGCAAAGGTGTACTTAAATGATTTTTTTTACCAGTTTCTGGTGAAGAATTAAGCTGTTTGTTGCCCAAATGTTTTTTTTTTTTTTCAGATTTTTGTAATGGCTAGAAATATCCCATTCTCATTACTTTTTGAACAACCCTAGTAGAGATAGTTTGAATCCCGGGTAAGGACATAGGATAGTTTTTATCCCGGTTTTTGAAACAGGGACACACGCTACAAAGTCTACTGTGACATACAAATTTTAGTCGGGCTAGTAGTAGTAGTTGTTGTTTTAAAACGATGAACATGATTGGTTTGCAAAGCAAATTGAATTAAAAAAAAACAATGCAGTTCCTTTATTTACACAACCGATTAACTAGTCAGTCAAACATGCCACAAATGCTTTTAATCATTTATTTGGTTTTTATTCACAACAAATGATATGAAAAATATGTGCTTAGATTGTGATTCAAATTTACAGAAGACTGGAGCTTGAAGCAGAATCCAAGAAGTCTGTAGGTCTGTTTAAATAAGTAACTGGTGAAGGATTTCCTTAAACAGCAACAGAAACGATCCATGAAGTGTAGGGCGCGACCGCAGTGCTGACTCCAGGGAAAGTGGCGTTCGCGCAGCCTTCGCCCCAAGAGACGACACCGACGAGGGTGGAGCCATGGTACAGAGGTCCACCAGAGTCTCCCTGGCAGGCATCTCGGCCTCCGACGTCAAGAAGACCAGCACAGATCATGTTCTCGGTGACGGGCCAGCCAAGAGTTGCGTAGCGCTCGCGGCAGATGGCGTGGTTGATGGTGAAGATTGTCACGTGCCTCAGAACGTCGGATGGGTGTCCTCCGAACTGAAAATTAGAAATGATACAGTTTTTGCTTATTTTTGATATTGGAGCTTTATTATTAAATCCTTAGCTTTATTATACTCGGCTATAAAATACGTGATTAGATAAGCCACAAATGTATGGGCCTCATTTAGAGGTACTTAAAGTAGTGGAAAGAACAACGGGGAATCCTGCTGTAGCAACATGCCTAGCTACCCTACGCCCTGAATACAGCCTATTGGCAAAGTCTTTGCCGCAAAGAATCGGCTTTCTTCCAAAGTTTTAATCGGTTTGACTGGGTGCCGTTGCGTTAATACCTTTTTTTTTTCAGATTAAGTTTGGTCATTTAATGTATCGTAAAAAAACAATTTCTCACCTGCGTGTGTCCCCACCCAGCGTGGATCACAGGCTGGTTATCAGGGATCACTGTGTTCGGGTTGGCGATGTATCCTGCCTGGACGACTGGGTTGTATTCCAAAGGTTCCGCCAGCCTCACAACGGTGATGTCTCCGTCGGCCCCCAACAGTCCATAGGTGGGGTGGTTGTATTCATTGGCCACGTTTCTGGTGAACCCACCGGAGTTGCGGAAGGTGGTGCCAGCTCGGATGCGGCGTAAGGAGGGCGAGTAGAAACTGGAATCAAAAATGATCGATTTAGTACCTTAAAAATATTATATTATAGACGTTGCTGGAGTCATTTCGGCTACTGCACCCTTCAAACATAGGCCTTTCCCAATGGCAGTGAGTGTAGGTACCAGGTAGGTCCCTATTGAAGAAAATCCAACAAGTTTAACAGAGGATCACTTGAGAACGGCTTGTTGGTCCATTATTATTTAACTTTCAGCTCAACATTATGTATCATATTATCAAGTGTAGACCAAGCACATCAGACTATACGTATATTTGTTGCAAAGCCACCCGTACTACGCTGAAACAAGGTTGATCCTGATGTAGCGTCGTCCGTACAAATTAGTATTGTATGCTCATACATGCTATAACGCCTGCAAACTGTACACAGAAAAAGCATTAAATAAAATTTTAGTCTATTCCAAACCCCAGCGACCTGAAATTTTGTAGGCATTGCGTCATGCATGCACGCAATGCACGTAATTTTTCAGGTAAACCGGTGGACATTTCACCACTTAGATAAGCCATTGGTGGCCTTAAACTTGTACTTATCGGATCATTATGTTGTTAAGATATGCGATTGTATCATCTTTATATTTATAGGTGCACTGCTACTCTATGTAGGTACACGAGGTTTTCGGGAAAAGTCGTTAAATAGCATTACTCGTAAGTAGTACCTATAGCATATCATTGAGTTTGTCACCCGTCATTACGTCATAAAATAATAACCAGTTGAACTTCTCATACAGGTAGGCACTTTTACACATCCCAGTATTAACCCTACCGCTGCTTCAGGACAATAAATGGGCCAGTGCTGAGAAGAAGCAGCACAAGATTAAATTATTAACTTACATGCCAGCAAAGCAATGGGCAGCAGACAGCACGTATCTGGAGCTGAGGATGTTAGCAGCACACGACTGCGACCAGGCCTGTGAGAAGATGCCCAAGAACTCCACCTGGACGATGGATGGATACTCGTTGATGGTGGTCTCCTGCCCCCCAACGATCCTAGGCGCTGCGTAGCAGCATCCTGAAAATGGGAACAATTTTCTCTATAGAAATAGGTTATGGCTAACCTTTGTTTGTCACCTGTCATGCTTTGCAATGGAGGGAGGTCGAACCTTAACTTCAAACTCCTCCTATGTTCTTCTGATTAATTTCGTTACGGGTCCAATGACAGTTTAATTTTGATGATGAAATGACCTTCACTGGTTGGGTTTTTATTGGCGGTCAAGCTGTAGATCCTGGCTACACAGGAGTTGCAGCGGTGGGAACGAAAGGTGGGAATAATCCCGTTTTATAAAATAGGTTTTCTTAAACTTAAAATTCGAGTAAACCATTGAATTTAGTATTTCGTTGAGTGTAATGACAACGGTGCTGATAGAGACCATAGTTTTCTACTATCGAATTCTTTTAATATAGCTAATTTGTGAAAATTCGGGAATAAGTCTTAGGCCTACTACGGCGCTCGAAACTTTAAAGAAATCACTGAAGCATCTGTGGGTATTTTGAGTATTTTGGAACTCTCTGACGCTTTCAACCATAGTCACACGAACTCCTTTTCCATTTGCAGTTTCTTGGGCCTTAGCATTGGAAACAATTCTGCAGGAATTTTTAAATACAATAAAATTTTACCTGCGAATAATGCCAAAGTCAGCAGCACGAGACGCACCATATTTGACAGCCTTGTCTTTACTCTAATTGATTACCAGTTTAACTCTTTTATACTGCAATAATTCACCACTGTTATCGTTTATTGTTTTATTTGCCTATTTACCACCGAATTTTTTATCGTTGATTAGACTTCCGGCAAGAATTCAGCTAAGTACTTATTCAAAAACTTTATTACGATTATTATTTTAGTAAAAAGTACCAAAAAACAAACATTAACTATCGCTTAATACAAAGGGCAGTTTACTTTATCTCTCGATCTAACTGTAGCAAGGCTTGAGTTGTTTTTTGAGTAAAAAAATAATAATAGGTACCTAATCGAAATTTATACTTTTAGTAAAATTTTATAGCGCTCTTTTTAGAGTGGTAATTAGGTAAAGTCAAACTTGAGATAAAATTGTCAGGCCCTTTTAAAAGTACCTACAGTACCTACCTACTGGTTTATAAATATGTAGTAGAAAAGAAAAGCAATTATTCAGAACTTTAACATTCATCAGATGTTTCTTTTCGCTTCTGTTTAAATTTAAATCCATAGGCCGATATTTTAATCATAGACAACGACCATATAACAATAGTCAAGGCTCTTGTAGTGAACGAAAAATATGGAATCCACAAAAAGCTTCAAAATAATTAAAACTTGTTGTGGTTCACTGTGATAAAATACTCGAATATTGGCAGAAATAAAACACCAAGACAATTTCATTTACATTATTTTATATTACTACATTTATATTACTTTTGACTTTGCTTAGGTTGGGTAGTATTAAAAAATCTGAATGAGTATTAACAATTTTGACTAACTCCTTTTCAAATTACTATGGCAACATTTTCTAAATGAGCAACATTGCTATGAACTTTGCTTTCGAATGTTTTTGATGCGTATAGTACCTAAGTAGTTAGGTGTTTGGCTTAGACAAGGTTCACAAATTAAATTATACTTAATTAGGTATTATTTCAGCCTCAATGGGACTAAAAAGATCTACCTAGTCTAGTTGTTCTAACTATGCGTCTGAAAAATTCTCCAGTCATACAAAGTAGTAAGTACCTATGGAAGAAATCGCGTCTTAGAAAAAAGACCTCTTAAATTTTGCCTTTTTATCCTTTGGATATCTTGTCTTTGTATTTTTTTTGTGGAGTGCAATAACGACAATAGATCTAGTTTCCAAAAAACTTTATGTGCATTTTATAGGTAGGTAGGTTATTAACACACAACTTAGATCAGATAATTTATTAACTTAAGAAGTTTACAAAACGGCAGTCTCCACGATCCAGTCTACGTATGACGCTACAGAAGTGCTGACTCCAGGGAAGGTCTCGTTAGCACAGCCATGTCCCCAGGATACTATTCCGATGAGAATGTTTTGGAAGTAGAGAGGGCCACCAGAGTCACCCTGGCAGGCGTCGCGGCCTCCCACGTCCAAGACACCAGCGCAAATCATGTTCTCGGTCACAACGTACCAAGGCTCGTCGAGCATCTCGTAACGTTCACGGCATAGGTCATTGTTGATTGTGTAGATTTGGACGTCCAAGAGAACTTCGGAATCTATCCAATTGTGCTGCAAATTGAAAAAGCAAGATTGATTAGTACTTTAATTCTCAATGGCCTAAATAGCACAATCGTCATCAGGTCATTTCTTGTCTCCACCGCAGAAACACGGCCCTCTCTAATTTGCCAGAGGCAAATGGAAGATTGGGTCTACAGTAATCCCAAATACTTAGTTATCAATGATAGTTATTGATACCCGTTTCTAGAAAAAGATGACCAAGAATCAAGAGTTTTCGAAAACTATAGTATCCAACCTAGGTACATTCTTACCGCAATCGCTCCCCATCCTGCGTGAACAACTGGAACATTGTCGGGGATGACAGCTCCTTGGTAGATGAGAGTGGCTTGCTGGATGACCGGGGTCAGAGGGAGGAAGTTCGACAGCCTGACGACTGTGATGTCACCGTCGTAACCAATCAAGCCGTAGCTTGGGTGGTTAAATACTGTATCCACGTAGGCTAGGACTCCACCAGTTTCTTGATAAGTAGTGCCAGCCCTCACACGACGGAGATGTGGTGCGTAGAGCCTGGAGTAGTAACAAAACAATACATAAATCTCAATATTTTCAGCTATTGTTCGTTTGTTTCAGCCAAATGACGTCCACTGCTGGACAAAGGCCTTCCCAAGGATTTCTATAACGACCGGTCCTGCGCTACCCGCATCCAGGCTCTTTCCGTGACCTTCATATCGTCGGTCCATCAGATTTTCAGCTATACCTAAATAAATTGGTTGAAAGTGTCCAACTGCGTTAAAACTTGAAAATTAAGAAGAATTTTGATCAAAGGAATTGCGGTAATTTTATAATTGATACTGCTAATAAATGCCTAAATCCAAACAGTCTTTTGGTTAGACATCTACTTATGAATAAACCGAAACTTACGGTCCATCAAAACAGTGAGCTGCAGACAGTACAAATGCTTGATTCAAGATGTTGCCAGCGCAGAACTGGACCCAAGCTCCGCTCCAGATCACCTGGCCTTCCACCTGCAGCATCCAAGGGTACTGCTCGATGGTAGTCGGGTTTCCACCAACAATTCTATTAGATGCATAGCAAGCACCTACCAGAAGAAGAAGAATAAAGTGAAATTTCAATATAAAAAAGCATTACGAGATTTGTTTGTAATTACAAAAACAAAAATGTATAAAATAAAAACGAAAATAATTATAAAATTAAAATAGTTACCTGCAAGAAACAGCAAAGATAGAGCTAAAAGACGTGCCATCGCGAACGTGCCAGTTACGATTATAATTTTAAATAATGACATCCAATATTTATATCACTGTTCGTTTGATTGTTTTATACTGATGAGCCTTATCCCGGAATAAATAAAACAAATATAATCTCACAAATCCGAGAAAATGATTAATGAAATCTTGAATTACCTACTACGAATTTCCAAGTTCCGCACCTACATAAGATAGGATTTCACGAAGTAGTAATCTGTGAATTGGGTATTTAAGAAGCAATAGATAAAAATTATGGCTCTATTCCTTTAACAACAAAAAATTATAGGTATTACACTTGCAGTACGCGTAAAAACCCTTATCACCTAGGGCAGTGTTTTTCAACCTTTTTCATGACACGACCCCCCTAGTATGAAAAAAATATTTTGCGACCCCCTGACCGCTCGTTTTTTTTCATTCATTTTATAATGGTACAAAGTAGGGACCGACCGAATATTTCAATCCATACAACATTTATGCATTTGGATATTAGATTTCGGATAATTCTATCATTATAACTTTACTGATTCTTTTACTGAGGTAGTTTTTACCACCTCTCACGACCCCCTACAGAGGCTTGGTGACCCCCCAGGGGGTCGCGACCCACAGGTTGAAAAACACTGACCTAGGGGAAAGTAAAATAGTAAGAAAAATTTAATAAGATGCGGTCAAGCCGGAGAGGAGGATTTTTGTTACAAACACTAGAATTTTCCCTTCGTGGTCGGATCAGAAATGAGGAAGATACGCAGGAAAACCAAAGTGACCGATATAGCCCGCAGAATTGCTAAAAATCAAATGGCAGTGGGTGGGGCACATAGTTCGTAGAGATGATGGCCGTTGAGGCCGAAAAGTTCTCGAGTGGCGACCACGGGCCGGAAGACGTAGAGTGGGCAGGCCCCCCACTAGGTGTACCAACGATTTGGTGAAGGTCGTGGGAATATCCTGGTTGCGGGCAGCATAGGTCCAATCGTTATGGAAATCATTGGGGTAGGCCTTTGTCCAGAAGAATTTCCTAACGTGTGTACCTGATAAAAAACTTAAACGGATATTTTTCCTCATCATAAATAAAGAAAAAATACCTTAATGGAAATTTCAACCTGTATTATCATGTTATCTTAATCCGTAATTCGGATCATAATCTATTGTTACAACAAAACCTACTTAAAATCCAATAAAGATAACATCTGATAATTCATTGATGATGGCCTGACCTGGTGGTTCACGTATCGGACTACAATGTAAACATGGCTCTTGATAGGATCACTTCTACCAAAATACATTTTAGCCATTTTTCGAAGGGTGTTTGTGATTAGGTTCAAATAGTTTTTTATAGTTCGTTCAACTATAGGTTGAACCAACCAAATTTTTCTTTCTCCAACTTTACCTTTTAAATTTCTCAATACCAGTTATGATATGAGTATCCCGTTAACTTTCAGGGAAAATTAAGACAAATCATTTTTAAACAGAAATCATTTATTATGAAATATTCTACAACACAGCAGTTTCTACGATCCAGTTCACGTATGAAGCGACATTGGCGTTGACTCCGGGGAAGCCTGCGCGAGCACAGCCATTTCCCCAGGATACCACTCCGATGAGAATGTTCTGGAAGTACAGAGGGCCACCGGAGTCTCCCTGGCAGGCGTCACGGCCTCCCAAGTCGAGGATACCAGCACAGATCATGTTCTTGGTGACGATGAAGTTAGGCTCATCTAAAGTCGCGTAGTTTTCTCGACACATATCATTGTTGACAGTGTAGACTTGGACGGCTTGAAGAACTTGAGAACTCGGCCCATTTTCCTGTACAGGCAATAAAGTTTCGTTAATTTTATGGAACTATTTCCATCTTATGCTTCCACCACTGTAACTCCTATAATATGTGAAGCTTGACCACCAATGAGAACCAGTTAAGAAAGAACTAGTTAAGGTTTAGTGCCAGGAGAATGAACTGTCATTGGACCCTTCACTAGTTTGGTTTCCTTGACAGCCAAACTGTCCTCCTGGCTATACAGGTTTCGCAGTAGTGGGGTGAGAGCTGGGACTAGAAGGATAAGTAAGAGGTAATCACATAACGTAAAGGTAAGAAATACATGGTTTTCGGACGTCAACCTATTAGGATTGTGAATTGTACAATAACAATAATTTATTTGAAAATTACAAAATAAGCGATTAGGTTATTCTTACCGCAATTGCTCCCCAGCCTGCGTAAACCACTGGAACATTGTCAGGAATGATGGCACCATGGTTGATGAGGGTGGCTTGCTGGATGACCGGAGTCAAAGGAATGAAGTCCAACAGCCTCACAACGGTGATATCCCCTTCAAAAGCAAATGTTAACCAGGTGGGATGGTTGTGTTCGCTCAAAACATTGGCCAGGACTCCGCTCGTATTTTGGTAGGTGGCGCCAGCTCTGATACGGCGAAACTCTGGGGCGTAGAAACTGAAATTTGTTTAATCTTATTAATAGGTAAATTGGGCAGTTTAACGCTTATTTCAAATTATTTTAAGGCCCTTTTTACTTGTCTATCTTTTCTTTTCTTGAGATAGAGAGGTGGATTTATACGTATTTGTCTGACGCGTTGTGTCGTTAGCTCGTGATACATCAGATCGGAATTGGTTTCATACATTTTAAAATGTGACACTTAGAAGCCATGACGAGAAGACACAACACTTAGATAAGTTTAAAAGTTTTCATACCAAATGTATGAAACCTATTCCGTTGTGATGCGTCACGAATTTCGAATACTTTGGAATGAATATTCGAATGATTCAAATTACGTCACATCAGCCAGGTGCGCAGTTAAGTTAAGGGTTGTAGGTATTCGTACTGTTTCATTACTAGACTTACGATCCGTAAAAGCAATGCGCCGCGGACAAGACAAACGCCTGGTTCAATACGCTGCCTGCGCAATACTTCACCCATTCCCCGATCCAGGGGAAGAAGGCTTCCACCTGCACTATCCAGGGGTACTCCTCGATGGTAGTCGGTTGGCCTCCGACAATTCTCTCAGAGGCCAAACCAGCTCCTGCAACTGAAGAATTATAATGATATGATGATCATAAGTAGCACCAGAAGATTTTAACATGCCAGAATAGAATTGGCTTTGGTAGGCTGCAGTAACTGGAATCGCTCCTTGAGATGTTGGGGAAAACGTGGATTTAATACGAGTAAAAGTGTGTTTAAAAACACCTAGACAGAATGATTCGTTTTGACATTTTGGTAAATAAGAATGTTAAGACTAGACTTAACATTTATTGTTGAAATCTGGTTGCGCACAAAGTCTAAAAGAAATTTAGGCGCTATGATTCAAATACTAAATTTTTCCTACCAACCAAAATTAGTTACATTTATTCTAAGGCCCGCGGACACACACGGACAGCTTGAAGCAGCTAGTATCCGACAGCTTCAAACTGCGACTGCATAGCAAACTACCTACAGTACCTACACTACGTACACACATAGGTACACGGAACCGCTACCACTAGCTGCTTCAAGCTGTCCGTGTATAGCAGGCCTAAGGGTGAATTAAAAACAGTAGATTTACCTGCAAATACCAGCAAAGACAAAGATAATAAACGTGCCATCGTAAATGTTGCGAGCCACCATGTAGAATAACCCATACGAAATAATCGAGTTCAATATTTATATCGTTGGTTAGTGTTATGTAATTCATCAACATTATCCCAGTATAAATTAATATAATTTATTTAATCCAACATAACGTCTACCGTCTACGAACATTATGAATAAAAACGGAATTTCCCACTTCCTGTCAATTTCAGCTCCGGATTTAAGTTCCGTACACTGAAAATTGTTTCTTAATAAGAATCTATGGGCATTGCTTATCTGTCGAAGCTTTAAAGCTGTAATAGGCGCTATTTTACAAACGAAATGAAATCTGAATGCTTTCAACGACAATGTCGTCGTTAACTGCCTTAGATTAATAAACTGCACATAACCACTGCACGTTTAGCTTTTGTAAACTATAACTAAAGGAAAAGTGCCTTTAAACTCTAAAAGAAAAGCTGTTGTGTGTGTGACTTAATAATGATAAGATGTAATGGGTATTTTTCCATACCATTACATACATTAAGGAATTCTAAAAACTAGACAGCTCATGTTTCATAATATTATCTAAATCCGATATTCGATCCGTATCTATTGTTCAATAACACCTACTTAAAAGTCAATATTGATAAATATTTCATCGTAAACATTATAAGTAATTATTATTTCATTTTGACATGAATGAGATAAAATTTAAGGAAACTTCGTGATTGTAATCGTTAGGACTTTGGACATATTTTATTTGTAAAACAAAACCTATATAATACACAGAGTTTAGTTGTCGTCGTGCTTATAACTGCAGGAGTCTGTATTTAAATTTTCATAGAATAAATAGCTACCTATTTCTTCGTTCGTTTCAGCCAAATGACGTCTTCTGCTGGACAAAGGCCTTCCCCAATAATTTCCATAACGAACGGTTCTGCGCTGCCCGCACCCAGGTTCTTATTACACTACTTCTTCTTATTCATTTCGCTCTTGGCAGAGCGGTCGTGGTCACGTTGAGGCGTAGTTCACATCGGTTGTAGAGGCGGATACAACTCTTCGCACGATCTCCCGCCATCTCTCTCTATTGGCAGACTGTCTGGTGCAGTCACATACGCCGTCTCCCACTGCCGATTTCACTTGGTCAGTCCAGCGCATAGGTGACCTGCCACGCGATCGGGTTCCTTCGACTTTTCCTTGGACGATCAGTCGCTCTATGGAATTATCATCCTGCTTTGAGACATGTCCGAAGTATTGCAGTATGCTCGACTGTACTACGGCTGACAAACGCTGAGTGATACCAAGCTCCTGGAGTATGGTCACATCACATTGGTACAGGACTCTGTCCATGGTATCCCGAGCATCTTCCTCCAGCACCACATCTCTAGAGCATCTATCTTCCTCTTTTCCAAGTCGCGTACTGTCCACGTCTCTGCTGCGTAAAGAAAAATGGGGAATTCAAGCGCTCGCACCAGTCTAACTTTGGTGGCTTTGGTAATGTTGCGATTCCTCCATAACTTCCTTAACTTCTCCATCGCAGTTCTGGTTAAGGTCGTTTTACTTCATCTACGCAGCCGCCATTATTTGAGATGAGAGCTCCAAGATATAACTTAGGGGGCGTCCATAAATTACGTGAGGCTTTTAGGGGGGGGAAGGGGTCAACAAAAACCTCACCAAATCTCACATGGGGGAGAGGGGGGGTCTCGGGAAATATCACGTATTTTTTTCCATAAGAAATAGAGAAATAGAGTTTGCCAGTGGGTTAAATCTTAAGTAAAAAAATTGGCCAAGTGCGTGTCGTGGCACGCGCAGTGTAGGGTTCCGTAGTTGTCCGTCGTTATCACAATATATTTCAGAAGTAAGCAATTACTTCATCTAAAGTCACTTTTAATATTTTCTTCTAAGGATTTTTTATTTGGTATGAATTTTTTTTATTAATACATGAGTAAAATGACTATTAGATACTCATGAACTACCTGATCTATCTTAACCGCTATAGTTTTCCTTGAAAGTTCATAAAAAGCACTATAATCTTGAATTTTTCCAGATTTATCAAGCCAACAGTTTAGTTTTTAGCGGGGGGGACGCCCTACTCGGACAAAAATTTGCACTTTAAACTTAAATATTTTGCAAACGGATCCCTAAATCGAAAAATGGTCTTAAAAACCCATATCGTTGGATAGGTCAAAAAAGACCTATCCAACGATACCCCACACGATGGGGTAGAAGACGAAAAAAAATCATCCCCACTTTACATGTAGGGGAGCTACCCTAAACAATTTTTTTTTTTCAAAATTTTATTCTACCGTTTTGTCGGCGTGATTAATATACATACCTCTACAAAATTACAGCTCCCTAGTGCCAATAGTTTCCAAGCAAAACCTCGGACAGACAGACAGCCAGACATATCGAAACTACAATTATTAAGGGTTCCTTGTCAGGACTAAAAAATGATATTTGTATGATGATAATGTCATTTTATTCTATACAGTCTAAACAAATAAAACTAAAAATGCTTCCGTCTGCATGTGTGAATACTAAAATGCAGAGTAAATGACGAAATTAAGAAAATTATAAAACAAGTTCTATTTTTATCAAAATCGATTTTGCTAGATTATTAGTGATTTTGTAGAAAGGAACAATTAGACTAGGTACTTCTGTAAAAAAACAATGTGACCCTAGTACTAACACTACACGTGTTTTTCTGGATCTATTCGTAATCAGTGGGCTTAGTGCGACTTTACACAATCGTCATCCGCTAGCGACTGCGTTATGATTGTACCAACAGCGTCCCTAGCAGATACTTTCAAGAACTAAAATCTTTAACTTTATAGATCTTTTTGATGCACTCGTTAGCGACAACGTTAAAGCACACAAAAAAAATGTTTCTCAGTTATATTACTCCAAAACTATTAAATTTCGGTTTTTTTTTAATATCACGTGAGATTTGGGGGTGGGGGAGGGGGTCAGGCAAAATCTCACCAAATCTCACCAAGGGGGGCGGGGGGGTTGAAAAATAGCCAAAATTGTCTCACGTAATTTATGGACGCCCCCTTAGGTCTAAACTACGTGCCTACGTACGTACCTACCTACTAGGTACTTAATATCCGTCAATTTTGAGGAAATACATAAGTAGTTCGTTAAAATAAATAGATATAATGTGTAAGTTATACATTTTTGGCAAAGAAAGTACAGTCTACGATGTTAGATAGAAAAATAAAACAACGACAATCTAATACAACAAAGTATTACAAACTTCGTGGCACTTTATTTAAATTCTTAGCTATATTGAATATTAAGAAATGGTTGCCTGAGTTATTATGAAAGGATTAGAAACTGACTATTTATTGTTTATTTACGTGATTTGGAGTTATTATAAATGACCGGAGATTGAGACACAAATATTCCAAACAAGTGTTAAGATAGACGCACTTACAGTAATTGTGGGACAATTATGGCGAATTAAAGAAAATTGAAAGGATCAAACACAAAAAAAATCGGAATCTATTTTTATTTTATTCACCAAAGAATTATCAGTTTACAAAACTGCGGTTTCTACGATCCAGTTTATGTATGATGATACAGCAACGCTGACTCCAGGGAAGGTCTTGTTAGCGCAGAGATGTCCCCAGGATATTACTCCGATGAGAATGTTCTGGAAGTAGAGAGGGCCACCGGAGTCTCCCTGGCAGGCGTCGCGGCCTCCCACATCCAGGATTCCAACACAGATCATGTTCTCGGTCACGACGTACCAAGGGTCGTCGAGCATCTCGTAGCGTTCACGGCAAAGGTCATTGTTGATTGTGAAGACTTGCACGTCCTAGAGCACTTCAGAGCCCGGCCGATAATACTGTTAATGAACAAAGATTTTGTTATTTTTCATTATCCTTAATAAACAATCCATTTTCTAAATAAATAGGACAGTTGCACTAAGAACCCCACCTCCCCCCCTCCCGGATAAACCCCCTTAGTCTTAGTGCACGACAGGTTTCATCAACTCGTCGGGCAATTCGTACGTAACCCACAATTGAATGGGCAGGGGGCTGTCGGGATAATTTTCTGGGCCGGCGCAGGGGACATCTTTAAAAACCCCCACAGGCGGAAGCTGGCGGTGTTTGCCCAGGCCCATTCATTGGAGGGCCGCTCTCGGTACTCCTCAGATCAGCAGAGCTTGAATAATATTGAGTCAGACAAATAAGACTGCATTGACATTTAACTTTCCTCCGGACAAACTTGACCTTCACTGGTTGGGTTTTTATTGGAGGTCAAGCTGTAGATCCTGGCTACACAGGAGTTGCAGCAGTGGAATGATAGGTGGGTAAGACTCCTTCAAGATTTAGATCCGAACCCACATCAAGTCCAATAGTCCAAACAGCTTGATCAGCGCAGTGTTGAAACTGATCCCACTGATTAATGTTCGGCCGAAATAGACGTCATCGCTAGTCCCGCATACCTGCGCTAGCGCAGCGATATGCCAGCGATTAATACAACTAGATCATATTTGATGTTTGTGCGCACCTCACGCCAGTTACACTTTCGTGCGGGGAATTCAGGTTATTTGTATTTTGGTGGGCGATCCAATTTAACTGGTGGAACGACCCACCTGGAATTTAATGTTCAGGCAGAGGGTGCATTTCATCATTTTTGAAGCATACGAATTAAGTTAACTCTTTACTTGATCTTGCCTGAGGGGAGGCCTTTGTCCAGCAGTGGACGTGATTTGACTAAATCGTCATTTGAAAAAATCTTAATCAATACCACCAAGAAATAACTTCTGTAAAAGCAAAAGACAACACGGTCAATCATACTTTACTCTAGTTTTATTTGTAAAACAAGTTCTTAGCTAGCTTGGCAGGTACTATCGGCAACATGTTAACTACCCATTGCCGGTCATGTTGTCTCGTTTTATCGCAAAGAATCACCATTTGATGACAGCGAGAGCAAAAACGGAAATGGATAGTTAACACTATGGCCGTGTGTATATTGAAATCCATCATAGTTTTTCAATAAAGCACAAGTAACGTCTAGTTTCTTATTATAATTCAAGATCCATAAAGATAAAGCTTCGCCCTTATCACGAAACTTGGGTTGACAGTGCCTACTACATACACTGCCTGTTGTACCTCAATCTCATACATCACGAAGTATGATTAGCACGGTGTATTTGCATCAAAAACATACCTGGACGCTATATCTAAACCTAATGAGACTTTCGCTGCTACATGACTTATTAGCCACTACATAAATAAACAGACTTTGGTAGAATTTAGGGTTGCCCTATACTTGATCATCTACCCTGATGACATAACAAACAGATTAGCATGCTGAAATGGGAATGGGCAGGGTTCTTAGCGCCAGGACCGGACCATCAATGAGGTAGATTTCTTGAGCTTCACTTATTGAAAGTGCAGCATTATTATTTACTAACTGTTTGGTAGACAGATATTGTAATTGTACCTTAAGACGAGCTGGGTGTTCATTTTGGAGTAAAAGGCTGTTTTTTCGAAAACATTGTCTGCTGAGTGGTGCTGTCTTTCCCAAACACTATAATCCGGACCTCTTCAAGCGAGAGTGAATATGCACTTACAGGGCAGGTATGTTCCATCCTAGACTGCATCCCGGTGTGATTACAGTCAAATACCTGCTTTGTTCTGCTTAAAAAACGATAAAATAATTACAAACTATATTCAGTATTATTAGTTTTATCTTTTACCATGAATGGATTATTCCGTACTCATCCTACTCATTATTTTTTCCTTACTCAACCTAATTTTATTCCTTACTCAAGAGGATTCATTACCAAGCTAATGGTATAGGTGTCAACTATAGTCACCAGCATTTTACATGGTACCTTTCAAAGAATGTGCCCTAAAATTTATAATGGCATTCAACATTACAGGTACGACCAGAATCATGGAGCCGGCAGCCCTGGCCTGCAGACGTGCCGCATAACTGGTGAGCAATTACTCGTTATTCTCAAAATGGCTGCGCAGGCGCTATCCGGAATGCCTCAGGTATGTTTGAAACGTCTCTGGACTGGGACAAGTTCAGATTTTTTGAGTTTACCACGCCATTCATGGGAATTATGAATGATGGTCAAGATGATCACTAGATTAGCTATTATTTTGCCTTCAGCATAGTTCACAGTCTATAAATGCCCACTTCTTGAAATATATTATCGTCCCAACTGAAGGATTAAGTGTGTCAAGCTCCCAGGCTCCCATAGCCCTCAGGAACTGGTTACCATCATCCGATTTATCGATGGTCCGTTCTTAGTTGCTTAGAAACTATCTTAGGCTGAGTTGCACCACCTAACTTTGACCGTAACTTTGACGATAACCGGTGTTTTTTGTATGAAGTTTGACAGATTTTTGACGTTTGTCAAAGTTAAAGTAGGATGGTGCAATCCAGCCTTAGTCTTTGACTCCTTTTTGGAATTACTCAGTTGTTGATTTCGTACTTCGATAAATAATAACATTTGATAAAAAGACACAATGCTCAGAAAAGGCTACAAATATTTTGCTTTACTTTTCTGCGTAAACCATTTCCCGTAATATTTTAGAAACAAGCGAACTAAACAAAGTTTCAAAATAACTACATAGTACGTACACAGATTCAGTTGTAAAATACCTAGTTGTGTGTCCACTCGTAAAGAGCCAGCTATTAATACCGGTACTGAATCGGTACCACAAATAACGTAGAGTTAACAGCACATCAACCTAAACATTTTTGTTGCAAAATAGCCTGTATTACAACGAGATAAGACGCCATTGTGTTTAGGTTGATGTGCTGTAGTCCGTACAACGTCAGACGCCGGTTTTAGTTCTTGCACTCTCGGCCTAATATGTTGTTGACTATCAATAGATCAATGCGCCTCGGGTAAAGTGTCGTTCACACAGTCAATTATCGCTGTTAGGGAGTTGATGATTTCTAAGTTAGGGCTTGTTTGTTCCCTGAGTTTTTTGCGCTGGTTCCTCTCAGCACTGGCCCATTTATTGTCTCGAAGCAGTGTTAGGGTTAACCCTAACACTAGTCTTAAGACTGGGAAAAATAAAATGAGTTTTTATGAGTTTTACTGGATCCCGCAAATCTGGATTACAGTGGGAACGAGCCCTTATGACGAGCCCTTGGGACGTGTATAAGAGCCCTAGAATAGGGCCTATGTACTGAATAAATAATTTGAATTTGAATTTATAACTCTGAATTAAATTCTTATTCTTGATTGCCTTATTTTTTACAGTGCTAACCTATTTTGTAGTGCGCTCAGGCACGAAATTTTTGAAGATTTTGATCAAGCGGTGCTGTAGGCACATTCTAAACTCTCTGACATTAAAAAATTGTAGTCCAATTGTACGTCAGCCAACATAGTCAGATCTAGGAATGTACCTGCCGCACTCCTACCGGCGCGCCGGCGCGTTTGATAAAAAGCGCGCTGCGCCCGCGCACGCTGCTCATAATTGCTGACAGAGTACAGGCGATGGCAGAATGAGGGTAGTATAAAATGTGAAATCACTTATTGTGTACTTCTACATCATACAGATGGAGATTAGCCACAAACTGTGCCTTCTCTAGACAAAGTTTTAGATTCTGATTCAAGAAATTTGCATGTTATGCCACTAAGAGCTGATTTTTCAATCGTCAGTATCTTTTACCTGAAGAATAAATTTGTCATTTTGACATATTTTCCATAGTGAAACTGTCAATGTGCCAAATTTATTTTTCAGTTAAAAGATATCCGACGATTGAAAAATCAGCGCTACATGTATGTAGTAACCAAACTGCCAACTGTGAAACGGCCTAGCCACATATTTTGACTCAGATGTAGGTAGACTCACTCACTTTAACGAAGTTCATGAAGTTTGGCTCTTCATGAACTTCGCCAAGTTTCTTCCGAAAAACCCATGCATCGTCCAGTTCATGGTCGAGCTGTTATGATGCTTTAAAGGGCTGTCCGGCTGTCTTCTTCTTCCTCGGCCCCTCACTGATGAGGATCGCGACCACATAATAGTGTTCCTCCACAGACCGCGGTCATGAGCTGTGTGGACCGCACGATGCAGACTTCCGCCCACCGTCTTCCTCACCGCGTCTGACCATCTCGTCGGCTAAAGGGCTGACAACGTAGAAAAAGAAAATATTCCTGTAATTTTTCTCGTCAAGAGTACCCTGCACAGCAAGGTCACTGCAATGCGGGATCGCGGCGTAATCGCTGCGCTCGTGCCGCTTTACTTCGCCGGTTCCGGAACGCCAATCGCCTCTAATCATTGTTTAACTCATTCCTCGAATTTTAAACGAAAAAACGGTTAAACAAGTCATTGGATGGCAATCAAAATAGATGGCCAGTTGAACTATTTGATAGTTTTTGTACCCTATAGTTAGAGCAGCTAATGTTCGCCGCGGAAATGAAAAGGACAGTGGCTTTGAATTCCCGTGCCTCATAAAATATGTAGTTACCTAGATTGAAATCTTCTAATATACGGGGTGTTAGGCAAATGGGTATATGAGCCAACACTAGCCCATGTTAACATGGTCATATAAATGGTATGGTGAAGTCAGAAAATTGATATCATCATTTTTTTTTTTAATTTTCATACAAAATAAATTCCGATTTGTATGAAAATTTCAATAATTAAAATGAAGATATCAATTTTCTGACTTCACCATACCATTTATATGACAATGTTAACATGGGCTAGTGTCGGCTCATATACCCATTTACCTAACACCCTGTATAATCTTTAAATTTCAAAAAAAGGTGATCTTAGACCTGCAGTACATTCAAAACTAAGTTAAAAAGTAAAGATTTAGAACTTGTGTTACACCAGTTTATTACTTAAGGAACTCCAAAGTAAGCGAAGCTTTTACTATGCAGCTAAATAACGAATACGTACCTCCTTAATATACATTTTAAAATACCTAATAAGGGGGCGTCCATTAATTACGTGAGACAATTTTGGCTAATTTTTAACCCCCCCGCCCCCCTTGGTGAGATTTCATGAGATTTTTCCTGACCCCCTCCCCCACCCCCTAATTTCACGTGAGATTTTCCAAAATGCCTATTTGCAATGTAAATGAGATAATACATGCTACGAAAATATTAGATTTTATATAAAAAACTCGACCTGCGTAAAAAAATAACTTTTAGTACAATTTTTAACTATTAGTTTACATTTTGTTAATATTTAAGCATTGGTAGCAAACTGCGAATCTAAAAACTGTGCCTGTGTTCACAAAGGCAGACGGAGGATTTACTCTGTTTGTTGTGGAAAAAAATTACGTGATATTTCTCGACATCCCCCCTCTCCCCCACGTGAGATTAAGTGAGGTTTTTCTGGACCCCCTCCCCCCCTAAAAGTCTCACGTAATTTATGGACGCCCCCTAATACCAATACCAATACAATACAGTACACATACCTACCAAGTAGAATGCCCTAGATTACTCGTGTTCATCGCAGCAACATCGCCCCCGGTAGCATTCGGCGTGGTACATGATCTTTCATCTCCGAAATGTTAATTGAACCTATTGCTAAACAGATCAATTAGCTACATTGTAGCCGATTGTGCGCGTGCGACGCGCGACGTGCGTCGGCGCAGATTGATGCGCGCTCTGTCATGGATCGTCTAATAAATACATCATTCAATACGTCTAGCTACACTCTTACTATATTTATAGGCTTTCTCCAAGTCTAAAGTATTCTGAGTAAAATTTTTCGTGATCTCAAGAAAAGGAGCTTGCATTCATGATATTCACAGCCTGACTTGACTTACTTAAGGTCCTATGTCCCCTAGATGGGGCAGAGGGCGTCCACAACAGTCCTCCATCGCGTTCGATCTTGAGCTTCGCGTTTGATCTCGCTCCAAGTCTTGCCGATTTTCTTCGCCTCGTCTGCCACAGTGCGCCGCCAAGTTTGCTTGGGGCGACCACGTTTGCGTTTTCCTTGGGGGTNCCAAGTCTTGCCGATTTTCTTCGCCTCGTCTGCCACAGTGCGCCGCCAAGTTTGCTTGGGGCGACCACGTTTGCGTTTTCCTTGGGGGTTCCTTGGTTGGGGGGGGGGGGGGGTGGGTTGGGTTGAATGAGCTGTTGAATTGCGACTATGATTGGCAATCTGTGGGGAATTCCCCAAACTGCGGGGAACACAAAGCTGATTGGGGAATGTGGAAAAGCTTCAATTTGGGGATAATGCAGGGATTGAAATGTGAAGACAAATACACGAAATTTGACATCATATTTCTGCTAGTCTTGATTGATTTCAAGTTACTGTCTGCAACCCTGATTGCGACTCTACCTTATATTTTGTTGGGTAAAAAGGACGTCATCAGTTGTGAAATCCATTGATTGACAATTTATTGGTTTAAAAGCGAATCTAACAGCCAAATACCATGTTTTATGCACATAAACAATCGAGTATTCTATTCTGTAAACTAACTTCATATTCAGGGCTAGGGGATTATTCCCACCTCTTGTTCCAACCACTACAACTCCTGTGTAGCCAGGATCTACAGCTTGACCGCTATAAAAACCCAACCAATGAAGGTCAGTATTCAGGGCTAGAATGAAGTGTTTATTATAGAAAGAGTGTCGTGATATTATTGGTTATTGGGGCGGGCGCAAACCGCCCATGTCACACAGCATCCGGATTCCACGCACTTGGCCGAACTTGACACGATTGCGGTTTGGTAAAATATGTCACTGTGCACTCATGCCTGCTAAGTATTTAGCACATGTGAGCTTGTCTTTATCATTAGGTGGCAGTTCACTTGATGACAAAGACTTAGGTCTGTATTCCAGAACGCTTCATAAATTCCACTCAGATTCAAGTATTGAGGGTTTACTAAAACCCTAGCCAACTATGGTGGAATTTAAAAATTTTGGCAATCACAGAACAATCATGAATCGAGTTTTGAGCATTGTTTGTAAAAAATGCTCATAAAATAAAAACTGTTCAACAAAATCAAATTAAATTTTTATGGGACCAAATGGCAACTATTCCGCATCGATGAAAACAAGAATCACGTAAATCGGCTCAGAAATCACGGCGTAATCGATGTACATCATATAGAAAAAAAAATACCAACCGAATTGAAAACCTCCTCCTTTTGTTAAAGTCGGTTAAAGAGTACTTATTCTGTTCTATATGGAAGTTAAAGTCTACGGTCTTGAAGGTTAGTCAATTCATTATCACTACATAGTATAAAAAAAATCGCTTCGCTATCTGTCTGTCTGTCTCTTTGAATATTCAAAACTACGCAAAGGATTTTGATGCGGTTTTTGTAATAGATAGAGTGATTCAAAAGGAAGGTTTATATTTAGCACCCGTGCAAAGCCGGGGCAGGTCGCTATTTTGGACATAAAATGATCTTAAAATCATTGTGGTTTAAAAATAATACATAAGTTTTGTAAAATATAGTTTTATTAATAAATGCTTACATCGCTCCCCTCTATTCAACGTGAGCTGACTACCTGCGTCAGAACTTGTAAACATAACAATCTTTTTCTTAAAATACCAACTATAATCTCCGTATCACTAACATACTTTTATCACACAAAACACACATACTTTTGGCATTAAATTGTATGTATAAAGATTTTATAGCAAATACTGCACAGCTAAAAGAGGATTTAAGCCAATCAAATAATTTAGAAATTCATGTTTTCAAGCAAATCTTACACAAGCAGTGTTAATCTTAACTTACATACGCATGAACATTTCTTATCATAATTGGTTAAAAATATTAGATTCGATATCATCAATTCGATTCAACATCACGTTTAGTCCTCCCGGAAAACTAAACGAATTGCTTGAAATAAAATATACCCTGATTGACGAATAATCAACTTCTTTCAGTGCTTCTAGTTATTTGTATTAGAAATACTGGCATAGAAAAAAGGTGCTGGTGACTCAGCATATGCCGGGGTTGCTGCGTGCGGTGCCCTATAGGGAACAACATCGGTACTTTTTAACACGCTGTGCAGTAAATTCTGCTGATCTGACAAAAGTATATTTAAATGCCTCAATTCTTGATCGATCTTCTTCAAATTGAACGTTGTTTGGTCCATCTTCTCTTGCATTCCTCTTATCTCTATATTGAAATTAGGATCACTCGATTGATTTTCTTTGTTAAACTTTGACGAATACTTATTTTTATACAACATTTCCTTAACAGATCTGCCAGACTTCATCTTATTCAATTGCGCTAATTCATACGCCGCCATCATTATGTCAGTCGGCAATCGTTTCTCTCTTGGATTTAACGGTTTTACACTCAATATTACCTTTCCAGCTTCGGGAGAGACTAAAGCAGTTCTATAAACGTATTTGTGAAGACATTTTGGTAGCCAAGCGCTAAACATACCCATTTCTACGAACAAAATCAGCTTGGTCTGTCTAACTAGTTTTGACAACCCTGCAGTCTTTCTTAGGCCTTGAATGTCGTGAACAGCGATACCGACAAGCAAATTCATCAAGATAATTGTGACAAACATAAGGAACAAGATGAATATTATTTGCGAAGACAATTCAAACACTAGAGGTGGGTCGTCTTGCAGTGGGTCGTTGATGAGAATATTTAAATTTAGCTCTCCCACCATCATTGATAAGGTACTTATGAAGCCCATCAAAGGGTTGGAAAACATTTCTTCGTTTGGGAACACGACGCAGAAGCAAATTGTGAAACCTAACAACAGGCAAACGTAAGCCAAGAGAAGTTTTAAGAATTCAGTGAGAACCTTTTGATACATTGCTACGTAATCGCCAAACATTGGTAACTGACCCATCATGAGCATAAGATTAGTCCAAGCTCCAAGAACGGCGTATCCTCCAACATGATTCTGCCAGCTGTAGTCGTCATCGATGTTGTAAAGCGAAAACACAGAAAGCAAGACAAACCATTCCATCAAATTTTCAAATGTCGTGAAGTACTGATAAATGCTAGAATATCCAGTAATACCAGTCAATTTACGGACTATCTCAAATGCTGTAATCCCCATTAACACCCATCGTTCAAACTCAATCGGATTATGTTTCAGCATTACTCCTAATAGAGACTGCTTCTGACATAGCTCATTAGGTACCCCATATTTTTTTGAATATTTACCCTTGCACGTTTTCACCACAGCAGTAAGAACGTAAATTGATAAAAATGACACAAACAGGAAGCAAAAGATTAATCTCGCCAAATAAAACTTTCTTATCTTCCGCCACTTCATAAACAAAAACGCTGAGCATAGTGGATGCAATAATATGTCTTTTTGACCTTCGTCTATCAAACTGTTTAAATAAGTTATCTCCCTAGGATAAGAAAACTTTAACAATTTGCCAAAATCAAATTCAATTTGTACCTCTTCATTACCCTCCGATGAACGACTCAAAGATATACCACTGTCCAAATTATGACGTAGAATTGCCAGTGATTTAGGTGTCTTTCTAGCTATGACGCTCAAAGCTGTGTGACCTTTCTTCGATTTTGAAATGACATCTCCGCCCAGAAATATTAAAGTTTCAACACATTGTGTCAAACTATCCATTGCAGCGAGGTGTAAAGGCGAGTATCCATAAGCGTCTTTCTTATTTACTTGAGCTCCCCAACTTACAAGTATATCTATGATATCGCAAGCACGCTCTGAACGGCTTACCGCGGCGTGCAATGGTGTTCGTTTATCAAAATCTTCAATGTTAGGATCGGCATTTCCATCTCGTAATAGAATTTCCACGCATTCCAAACTTGAACAACGGGCAGCAAGATGAAGAGCTGTAAAACCTCTGTGATTTCTTGTATTTGCCTTTGCTCCCTCTGTTATTAACAATTCGACGCACTCAGCGTATCCTCTAGCAGCTGCCAAGTGCAAGGCTGTAGATTCTTTATCTCTTTGTTTAGTTACACCATTAACACTTATCTTGGTTTCTTTCAAAAGATATGATAAACAACGTTGAGCACCAAGCTCCGCTGCTAAATGTAAAGCATTCAAACCTCCTGATGTTGCATATCCAGGGTCGACTCCCCTTTCGATGAACAGCTCCATGCACTCCACAGCATCAGCTCGCACTGCACAGTGAACAAGGTTATCTTCACAGCCAGCCCTTTGCACAACGGCATGCAACGAAGCATCATGAGCAATTAACACTTCTGCCACTTCCAATGAATTCCCAAACGCTGCGCAATGTAGAGGCGTGAAATATTTAGGAGCATAATCAACATCAGCACCACGAGATATCAAGAAAACTGCAGCTCTCCCCGCACCACTAAATGCAGCTAAATGCAAAGCCGTCAACCCAGCCGGTTCTGAGCTGTGAATATCGGCACCCGCTTCCAAAATCATCGGCAGCAGCTCATCGCGAGTCAAAAATGCTGCCCAAAGTAATGTTAGATTCACAACCACTTCAGGAGCTGAACTGATGTGTTCAGCGATATTGTCGGCCGTGATCAACCCACACTCGACGTCGTCAAAGAATCTTCCCGCTCCAAGGGCTAATGCGCGTTCACAGAGCCCCTTCCGTGCTGCTTCTTCTGTCAGTCGTGCGTCAGGGTCGGGTGCGAGGACATCAAAACTGTGATACATGTTGGGAGCATCTTCGGCTGGCGGTGAGGGTCCGACGAAAAGGTATTCCTTTGTCTTGCCTGGCTCGCGTGCAGTTTCCAGTAAGTCGATGCTGCGTACATGTTTGTAGTTGTTAAGAGGAAATTCTTCAGGTTCGCGGTTTCTCGAGCTGAAACTCCTGGCCATACGCGGTCTCGTGGGCGTCGACGCGGGAGTCTGCAGCGGTTTTGGCCAGCCCATCTCTCGGTACCCAAAGTTGTCCATGGCTGGAGCGTGACTGACGGCTGAAGCATCTATCTGCTCGCTATCTTATCAGGTTTGTTTTAGCGCTTGGTCAAATAAGCCAACTATTTGACGTGATTTATGAAGCTGTTATTACGCGCAATTAGAAGGTAATTTGCATGTCAAGTGGTATTCTTATTCTGGGAATCGATTGTGATGTAACGTAGACTTAGGGTGCGGCCAGACGGTGCGTTTTGGGGTGGTATATGTAGGTCAGTTGATTATGTGGTTTTTAAAGTAGATGACCGCAACTCATACCTTAGTCGACAGTGTCATTTTCATATCAAACTCTAGAATTCCAACATAATAATGTACCTTATCCTCATCATAACTTCAGCTAAAGGATGTTCACTTATGATCAGCAAGATAAACAGAATGTTTCCTTCAATTAACGATTTTTTATTTTATTGATTACTTCAGGAACATAATTTCATGTTTTAACTCACTCTAACTCAGTGACCGATGTCAATAATACATTATTTTGACGTAAAAACATGTCTAAATTGTGACAAAAATATGACAAGTTACAGCAATTTTTCATAAATAGACATTCAGCCAAATTCCCGACTCCTACATTTCCCTGTAACATCTCTCATCCCGATGACAGTACATCAACCTCATTACAAACGGTTGTTTGCGCGTGCGCAAAAATATACAAATATTTGCGCGGGAGCGTCTGCGACATGCGCTGACACTTCTGTTATTGTTCGTTTTGTTCATGAAGGTTTTGTTATGAGTTTGTTATGCCCTCGTGCTCTAAAAACAATAGAATGTAGGTAAAATTTGGGTGGATAACCGGCTGAGTGGCTATGACAGCTGAAGTGAAACGATTTCGCAATTAACTGTCATGAATGAATGTTAATTTTGTCTAGGACTTAGAGTAGGCGCACACCGTTGATTTTTCGTCGGCCGATAGTTTAGTCGGGCAGTTGATCAGTATGGGCATGTATGGGAGTGCGCATACTACGCCGATTCGATTCGGCCGATTCTTCATACAATTTAAAATCGGGCACAACTATCGGCCAACTAAAAATCAACGGTGTGCGCCTACTCTTAGGTATCATTTGTTTTCTTAACTACCTCTAGTATAAAAAGAGGCAGAGCTTAGGATCTACATTCGGAATCAAATTAAATAGGTACTTATCCAAGAGCTTGAATTAGACTTATAAAATGACAAAAAAAATCCATACACAGTGTGGATTCTTTTTTACAAAGTAAACATTATGTAAAAAGGACAAAAAGCATACTCACTCTTTTACTTATGCGGATAATATTTTATCAGCTCATATTATCTTTCTCTCTACAATTAGGTACATATAAATGTTGTATCATCATCTAAATCCTTAGTCTATGATCGGAACCAATTATTATGGTCCAAAACTTCAAACTCAAGCATTGATTCTAACTCAACCTATAAAAAAATATAACTCAACCAATCAAAGTTTCAAACTCCAATCTCTATAGGCTTGAGATTGAATTGAGTTTCAACATCGTTACATAATACGGCCATTCGTATTTGTTGAACATTTAAAACACAAACCTCAATTTATGAATTCGTAACAATTTGTACCGATACAGTTTCTACTGAATCACAAGATAAAAAGTTATTTACGCCCGAATAATAATCTTCCATTGTTTAAATATTTGTTTTACTCTTGTTTTCATTCGTTTTCCTCTTTATAATCACGTTTTTATACATCCATTATTAAACACAGGCACATGTTAATTTTAAACAATCTAATTTGATAATTATGAAATTATATTAACTTTTGCCCACGGCTTGTTTGTCACAGAAAAACATTTTCGCGCGCATCCCTGTTTCAAAAACTGAGATAAAAACTATCATAAATGTCCTTTTCCGGGACTCAAACTATCTCTATGCCAAATTTCATCAAATCAGTTCAGTAGTTTAGTTGCGAAAGCGTGACAGACAGACATAGTTACTTTATAATAATAAAGTACGGATTCTTTTTTTATTAGGCAATAACTAAATAATTTTATACCTAATACATTTACAAAAAAACTTAAAATTAAGTAGGGATAAACTTTAGACATTGTTAATTATAGATTAATTTAGAACTCAAGTTGTTGTTCTATCTATGACTCCAGTTTGATAGTTATAATTTTCCTACTGATATAAATAAACATTAAGTTTGTTTTTGCGAAGTGTGAAAACATGTTCTCTGATTGTCAGTTCAATCTATTTTTAGTAGTTAGTAGATTTTTATCATATCAAATTCTAGCGCGAACTATACAGGATGTGCAAGATCGATTGGCAAACAATAACATTTTTTAACCCTGCATATTACAGATAACTGAAATTCCCTAGGAATTTCACACATTTTGTAGTTTTCTTGTCATAAATCAAATTATGTAGGTAGAATAAGGTCATTTATGATTCGGTCGTTCTTTTCAGCCGAATGACGTCCACTGCTGGAAAAAGGCCTCCCTCAAGAATTTCCACAAAGACCGGTTCTGAGCCGCCCGCATCCAGGCACCTCTCGCGACCTTCTCCAGATCGTCGGTCCACCTAGTGGGAGGCCTGTCCACACTACGTCTTCTGGCTGTAGTCGCCTCTCGAGGAGGACTGACCATACAAAGATTTGTACTAGATATTCTAACAACTAAATGAATCATTTTTTGTTTTAGATATTTTTGACTATTCTACTAGTAGAACATTAATTAAGGACAGACAAATTAATAATTTGATCGAGACGATGACCTATGTAGATTCACTGCTTAAATCTTTGCCAACCTGAACTCCACACCCTGTATTTAACCAACAGCTCACCAAATATGCGACATACTTGGCACCCAGTTTGACACTGGGTTCAAGCCATCACGGAGGCATCCGACCATCAAACCGACGGCTTACTCGACCGGGGAATCGAACTGACACCTAACTAACGCCCTGCACCGGCTAACGGTCTAACGGCACCGCGTTATCTGTACTATATTAGTTTTATCTTCAAGATAATTTCGTTTAGTTTAAATTATTCGTAATCCGTGAGTAAGATGATACGGTCGCGATGTAGGTCGCAGGTTGCCAAACTTTACAGTAAAGTACTGTTATCAATGTATCGTATCGTATCGTTTCAGCCGAATGACGTCCACTGCTGGACAAAAGCCTCCCCCAAGGATTCCCACAAAGACCGGTCCTGCGCCGTCCGTGTAACTAAATAAAATAAATATCCTTGAACACTTTGCATTGCGCCATCTTCTTTTTCTTCTTTTCAGTCTGATGTCCAGTGCTGGACAAAGGGGAGCGTGGGAACTTCGACTATCTGGTGAAGACTCCTAACAACAACATAAACTAACTTATATAGGTACACGACACGGTGTGTTTCTTGTGGACGTCAAAACGGGCTGATATTTTTTTTAATTATCTTAAGTAAGTATTTCATAAAGTCATTTTTTGTGCATGACAAGGCACTCGCACCTGGGTGTTAATTGAGATGCAGTCCAGGGTGGTACATAGCCCTTTCGGACCCGCGCTTAAACTAGAAATTAATTTGTAATTTTGAAGAAGAATTTTAGGTAATTTGGGGCCGCAGATTACGAATCCGCTATAATTTTCCAGATTTTCCGCCGCCATCTTGGAAAATTCATATACCAACAATTGTATCAAACTGGGCCCTTCACTTCCCACGTACAATTGTGAGGGTCAAAATTGTAAGGGTTTTGGAAATTTTATCAATGGCATGAATTCCGAAAAACGTATTTATAACCAGTAAGGAATAAAGAGGTTTCATTTTTATACCAATATTTGCCATTTAATATTGATTTGTGGGCAAAACCATCTGTTCCATGAGCTCAAAAGTAAATATAGCACTCGAAATATTTCTATGAAGTTTTAATATCTCCTGGATCATGAACTGCATCTCCTGGAAGATGTTGACGATTGAAGGGCTTCGTCTGCTATGCCGCTTGCATACTCAGAGGTATGTATCGTCATGAATGTCTGAGCCTTCATCAGAAGAAGAGGAGTAGTTCATCTGAAGTAGCCGAAACTAGCTTTTGTCATTGTCATCGCTCTCATCCCCAGATGTATTGAGCATCTCTGCGATAGTAGCGTCGTTTAAAATCGGAAACATGGTGCGGAAACCATGAAAAATTAATAATTATGAGAAACTTAAAATACGCATAAGGTATTGTAGGGCCCACGTCGATACAATTGTGTCAGTAAAGTTCGTTAAGCCATTATGCCAAAGTCTTTGCTTACAATTAGTCACTGTTATCACAAAAAGATGCTATTTTTATCTATTTGTTTAATCAATAACTTGTAAATTACTACAATTATAAAATAAAACCATAGTAGGTACTTTCTTTCGCCAAGTCGGGGAGCGCAATCAGTCATGAACTGTACAGGTTGTAACCTGCTCACCAACTGCGCTTCGGACAAAATTTGCACGGGAGGTGAAAGAACGCATCCCGCACAATCGTACGATACTCAGCCCATCCACTTTTAATGTAAAACTAATGAGATAATCTCGATTTTGTAACCCGCACAATTGTATTGGAGCGGTCCGAAAGGGATAGGTATCTATTATACCTACATAAGAATAAGAATATTTCATTGTAGGTAGAAAATAAGCAGTAAAAAATGCATAATATGGTCTCATATTAATTGCTGTTGTTAAGTCTCATTAGGTACTGGAAAGGTCCAAAGTACAAGTACATAATTTTGTGAAATGTTGAGAACCTCTGAAATTCAAATTAAACTCATCCCACTCGGCACCTAAAAACACAATTCCTTTACACAACGGCTCGTAAATACAGATTACAATGTCACACGCTTGCTATTTGATTACTTCGCGAATGATACTAAACTATCTACTGTAATGAAAAGTAGAGTTTATTCGCTATATCACGTGTCTTTATAATATCTCTTTAGGTTATTGCAATTGTTGTTTAGAGAAGCATCGATTTACAAGACTACCGGTACTCTAAATGTTTAGATAATCCTGGTTCGAGTCCTAAGTAGGGCACCGACTAAGTTTGTGTTTATGTAG